GGGGAATGGAAACCAGATGTCTGAGATCCACCATGAATATGTCAAAGCTCCTGGACTATGTCAAATCCCCCCCAAGTCCCTTTGGAGTACAGAACCCTTTCGGCCGCGTCATCGAGAACGAACGTGGAGACGACAGCTCGGCGGTGGACGTCTTGGCGGTATCGACAAAAGCGCCTACGGAGAGTCGCTTCGGTCGTGGAGGATTTTTTTTTCCACTCTTGCTCGGGTTTCTGGCCTCGACGCATTCTTCACGTCAGGGTATCCTTAGGCTGCGTCGGGTGGCAAATCTCTCGGCGCTTTCTCGTGCTTGAGAAAATAACAAGCTATAGAGTAATGACTTAACAAGCAACAGGATAATGGCTTCAACATGCGCGCGGCTGGGAGAATTCAGGCCGGTGCCAGCACTCGCTTACTCGCATGTGGATGTGTGCGTCTATTGTTTGCGAGGAGATGTTTGAAAGTTGGGCCGGCAACAAACACATGGCTCTGGACTTCAGTTGAGCCTTGAAGGCTTTGTTTGGAGGGGCGGGCGGCGGGTTGGAGGGGAGGCAGCGATGGCAGCCGTGCGTCACAATGGCGCGGACAGCCCGATGCTTTTCTCCGGGTGTTCTCCATCACGAGCAGCTGTAACGTGGGCCTCCCACGCAGACCGGCGCGCCTCAGCGTACACTGACATGTGATAACCTACATCTGTGCTTGTGTGTGTCCCAGGAGGCCAGGGAACGGTGTGAACATCTCCAGTCATAACCGTAGCGTCATTGATGATATTACTCGGCATCCCTATTGGCAGAAAGTCACTTAGTGTTGGTGTGTTGCATGCAAGACACCACACCAAGCGAGGGAGCGATGGGGCAATTTGGTGATTTGTCCTCCCCTGAGAGATGGGGGGGGTTTGAAGCGTTGCGCAAGACTCACAGTTGGCTAGGAAACTTCCACGGCCGAGTCCTTCATAAATGAGTGACTGCTGTCCTCACTTACAGCGCTGGTCAACAACATGTGAATACAATTTTTTTTTTTAAATCTGAGGCGCGAGTCAACTTTTCGACTTTCAACTTTTGTTTTATTTTGGCAAATTAAGCTTGAGTTTCAGAAACATCATCGCGCCAAAAGTGGCGAAACATCTGCCCCCTGAGATGGATCAAAACCGGTGGATTTTGTTTCTTAATTCAGACTCCAGAATGCCCTGTTTAGACTAACGGGCCGCAAGATCATTTTTGGACTCAATTCCCCGGAAATGGATGTGCTAGAATAAAAAAAGTCCAGACATTTTTTTTGAATGAATACAATGAATACATTCAGCTGGTTTTCTGTTCGCCGTGATATGGTTCAGCTGCCGCTTATGAAGGCATGCTGGTTCGGCATGCACTCACGTCGCCAAATATTGTTATTTACAATACAATACACTACGCAAGGAATCCAAACATAGTGGACTGTGAGAGATGTTTTTGAGCTGAGAGGAAACAAGTGGGAGGCAGGCCTCATTTGAGCCTCCACAGTGTCGAACCAGCAGCGCCATTATAATGCCTTGAAGCTATTTCTGCCTTTGTGGGAGGCAGGCCTCATTTGAGCCTCCACAGTGTTGAACCAGCAGCGCCATTACAATGCCTTGAAGCTATTTCTGCCTTTTTTTTTTTAAACTACGAGATGTGAAATGATTGACACGTGATTAACAACCCTCTTCCTGTCAGTACCAAGCGCGCGACATTTGTGAACACTCTGGCAGGACTGGGCTTGCCGTACTTCGCTCCAATCGCGTCGGGTCCCGGAGGTGAGGCGATGTGTTTCATCGCATACTCTCTGATGATGTTTACACGCTGTTATGTGCAGACGTGTCGTGGCAGGTGCACAGAAATGCTGATCTTCATGTTAAGGCCTGCGGCGACAGCTCAGCGTCTTCCTGCACCTCGTCTGGGAAAATATTCTCCGGTGCATTCCAACGTGACAAAGATGAGATTTCCTAAAATGCCACAAGGAGTGTCAACATATCCGAACGTTCCGTCTTGGATCCTCGAGGCCTAACCCGAGTACCTGAGCAGTGATTGAGCTGCGCTTGGGTTCACGACTCGTCGAGCTCATGGTAGGGGTGCGGGTTCGGGTTCGACAGCGCGCGGTGATGAAGACATGACTTTTGCGTTTGCCTTTGCCGACCTCCTGCACAAGAATCTGGGAGTTTTGACAGAGAAGACAGGTCGGTCAAGACATTCTGACACTTGTCTTGTTTCCTGTCCCAGCGATGTAAACGTGGGCTTATTCTCTCCCCGCTCCTCGGCGCTCTTCTTCCCCCATCAACAGCAGTGTGAGGCAATGTCCCAAAGGACACAGGAAAAGCAAAGAGCCCAGACGCACACGCATCCCTCCAGCTCTCCCCTCCTTCCTTTTCCGAAGGCTCTGCTTCTCGCTGGCAACGACTCTGCAGCAACACATGTCTCTGATCAAGTCGGGCCTGCGTCATCAGTTAGTAAACTCCAGGCTCCAGGAAAACCAACAGAGAGCACATTCATAGCCGACGACCCTGTGACTGAGTGTGTGATTCATTACGCTTTAATATGTGCCCCTAGCACCCCCCCCCCACTCCTTAAACCCGCCCAACCGCTTCTCCGACGCAGCCCCGAGGCAACCTCGCAGCCTGATCAAGTCCATCATTAAACATATTTGTGGAGTTATCGCTTTTGGCCCTCTTTTCTTTCTTTCTTTTCTTTCTTTTTTTTTGTTTACTAGAAGCAGACGTTTTGTCTTGGTCCTGATTGCAGTTCAGAGGAGTGAAATTAGCTCTCCGTGACGTTTAAATTAGTACTCGGAACTTTAAAAAACATTAATGAGGTCGCAACCCATCGGGAGATTTTCCTGGAAGAGGAAAGAATGTCGAATTTGGGTTTTTTGAATCAAAAGCGCGGCACGCCGGTCGACCGGTTAGCACGTCCGCCTCACAGTGCAAAGGTGCGGGGTTCGATTCCGGCTGCGGCCTTCCCTGTGTGGAGTTTTCTCCAGTTCCTCCGGTTTCCTCCCACATTCCCCCAAAATACATGCACGGCAGGTTAATGGAGCACTCGAAATCGTCCCTCGGTGTGATGGTGAGCACTGATGGTTGTTGTTCGTCTGTGTGTGCCCTGCGTTTGGCCTGCTACCAGTTCGGTGTGTACCCTGCCCACTGCCCCCGAAGACAGCTGCGATGGGCTCCAGCACGCCTGACAAGCGGATTGGAAAATTGATGGATGGATGAATCAATAGCACTGAAGACTTTTTAAGCAAGGTGCGAATATTAAATGGGTGCGAAAATTAGCATAACGCACGAGGTGGGAGTTTGAAGCTGGAACGATAGCGACGGTGAAATGAAAAACAGCAACGCAACTTTGCATAACGAACGTTTCCATCTGCTCCATGTAAGCAGGCCACGGTGACTGGAGGGATTTCTTTTCCAAGGAGATCTCTCTCTCTCTCTCTCTCTCTTTCAGAGCCTTGAGTGTCATGGGTCTTGTTTCTGAAATGCTGACGGCGACATCCTTTCCTTCCGAGTCCCAACTGCCGCTCTATAGTTTGGCAGCAACAAACTCCACCCAAAAGCTTTGGCCGTTTGAGCAGGCGCGGCCGGGACAGCTGATGGGGGCGGCCGTGTTGCGGGAGAAACAGCATTTGATCCCTGCAGCTCCTCGGCCCGCACTGATTTTTCAGGGGGGGGGAAAGTGGGCCAACGTAAACTCCAACTTCCTGTCGGCCTTTTCTCAGAGGGGGAGAGATGATCCTTCTGTGAAGAGGGACACACACACACACACACACACACACACACACACACACACACACACATAAATAGAAATACTGCTGTAGAGTCAGGCAGAGAGTGACTGGGGGAGAGAAAGAGAGAGAGTGGAATATACAAACATGACTGGACTCAGGAATGTTAAACACATGGTTTATGGCATAAATAGCAGCCACTTTTGGTAAATTACAGTGAGTGTTCTGGCACTGCAGAGCACACAGCAGGAAAACGATCTCGGGTTTCACATTTCGGGCCTCTGCTCTCCTCAAGCAACAAGACGGGGAGCGTGTTGTGTTTTCTTTTCTCTATAAAAAGGCAGAAATGAGCCCGGCAAAGGGTTTAGCTTGGCCAAGTCAAGCTGAACAACATTTGTGGCAAGATTGTAACGGGACGAGAAGACAGAGAGACATGCCGGCATTTCAAAAAAAAAACAAAAGAGAAAAAAAAGAGAGATTGCATCATGAGTTATATGTGTACGAGGTTTTCTTTTATGCGAGGCCGGGTTTCAAAATTGGTAGATAGGGTCAGCGTTTCGCATTCACTCGGTCCCCAAAACAAAGACAAGCATTCGAAAAAGTCAAGCAACAAGTCGAGATCCGGACCACGAGACATGTTGCCAGCTGACATTTTGAAAATAGTCCTGAACTAACTGGCAACAGCTGAGAGTTTAATAGGCTCATCCTGGGTGAGACACAAGACCATCATGGCCCCGGGTTGGGGGGGGGGCTGTTGTTGATTTCCAATCCTGCGGACCTGTCGCAGACCTTTGAGCGTCCCTTGGAAATTTGCGAGTCCGATGTTTTACGAGGGTTTCTGCGGCCCGGAGGCTGCAGGCAGATATCCCTGAGTCAGGAGGAAAGAAGAAACCGCCGCGGAACAGTTTGCCTCACTCTGGCCTGGCCCGGCTGGGCCCTGGCCCCCGCGGCCCGACTGCCTGACTAATCTGACTCGAGTGACGGAGAGCGAGGGGAGCCGCGGGAAGGTGAGAACGCACTGACTCACTGTCTAGGAGGACGACAGGTTCGACTCTCCCCGATGACAAAAGAGCTGGAAAACACAACGCGCGCACGCTGCGACCGTGACCCCCTTCTTAAATTCAGATCACTTCGTGCCGAGCATTCGTGCTCAGTCCTGGGAGTGATTAAAACCATACGGCGCTTTCTTCTAAGCTTCTCTTTCAAAGGCCAGAGCCAAGTTGCTCGACGCCATTGCTGCGTCTGCGCCATCTGAAAGGATCCGACGCAAGACTAATGTCCCCAAACTGCCTTTACAAAGCCGTCATTGACACTCTCAGAGGAGCGAGCGTTTGATCACACGGTTGTGTGGAATCGCGCCGCATTATATTTTCCATGAATGTCCTCCTCTAATTGACGCGTCTAAAATAGAAAATAAAAGCGTTTGTTTATCTGTTTTCCGTTCAAGCTTATTGGGGCATGTTCAATCATTATGATATTTTTGAATTCATTAATTGGCATGGATATTTTCACGATCAGATGTTCCTAGTTGGATTATATCAGAACATGTCTAACAAAAAAAGCACAGAATAAAAACTTGCGCTGCTTGGCCTAAACCAGTCATTTAAGTCTCGATGACGAATGACCGACAACAGAGCCGGCAAGGCCTTTGGACTTTAACTTCGCGTCAGAGGGGACAACCATTCTATCAACTTTTTAATTTTTTTTTTTGTAAAATGCAGGAGCGCCAATTTTCACAACAGCAGAACTTAAAACACTTCGTTGAGGTAGGCCAACGTAAAATGTTGTTGAAGTGTGTTGCCTGGAAAGTTTGAGCTCAAACAAGAATTTTTCCGGTGCTCCGCATGAAAGATTCGGCCTTTGAAGTTGGCCGTTTCGTCCCGTGTCGTCAAATGTCTTGCCACTATTGCTAATCATCTAGCCAGTGAGTGTGCGCTGCCTGCCGTGTTTGCGCAGCGACAACAGTGAGAAGTAGAAGGCAGGTGGAAACTGACAACAGGTGCATTCACTTCCCTCCCCCGCCCCCATCCATCATGCGGCACGTTCACCTGCGCATCTGCAAAATTGCTTTTTGCACAATGCTCGCTTCACTCCGCACGTCCAATGTCGAGATGCTGAAATGCCAGTTAATGATTAGACCGAGCGCGTTTAACCGTAACGTGCGGAGCGCTTTCGTTCCCCCCCGTCGCAGCAGGTGTAGCGCGCCTCAAGGCGCCTTTGCTCAAGGGCTCCAGCCAAAAAGCAGATTTTAATAAACATAAATTACTTTATTGAATGAAACTCAGAATCACTTTTGGCATACACAAAACACTGAAGACAAGCGGGGTACAAAATGGAAATCACAAATCATCTGCACATTGCACTAGGAAGCGTTGCCATACATGTTCAAGAAACGACGGCGCTCATCTCTGTGCTGTCCATTTACAGGGATCGCGCCACATATTAGGCGAGCGTGGTGTAAACTTGGAAAAAAAAAAAAAAAAAAGGTTTGGTCCCAGCCTTTCTGCTTTGAATCTCTTTGGTTCTCCATGAATACTGCGAACACGAATGAAAGCTACAAACAGCAATGAGGTAAACAAGACAAAGATGAAAGACATTTCATTTGGCGTATGGCTTCGACCTCTCTGATTAACACTGTGGTAACATTGAGTGCATGGCTTGCGAAGCCGCCCAAGTTCCTATCGGCGGAACTCATCGGCGAAAGCGAAGGTGGCGCTGTAGTCAAAACAGAGGCTTAAGATGACCGCCTTCCTTGGGGAGACAAAGTCCTTTGTGGCGGCATCTTTTCGAAAGCAAGAGCGGCGGACGTCACCTGCGATTCCGCCGGCGAAGGTCACTGCCGAAGCACCTGTTAGCACCTCGTCTATCGACGCCACGGTGCCAGGGACAGCTGTGTGTGTGTGTGTATGTGTGTGCGCGCGCGCGCCATGGCTTTTGCGTGTCCGCCGGCGTGCGCGTTGGGAGGCGCGTTGAGAGGTTGACACCACCCACGCAAGCCTACCTCTCAGCAGCTGCGTCCGGGCCGTGAATCCCGAGCTGTCCGGCACCGGGACGGAGACAGGAAAGAACACCTCTTACCCCAAGGAGTTGAGTACGTGTTTGGTCTTCGGAATGCGCGGGATGGCGGCGAAGGGGCCGACATCAAGTAAGGATCAGCTCGCTTCAGATTTGGTCCAACGGCCTCAAGACTTCAAATTAGCATGGAAAAGAGGCGCCGCGCTTCGAGCCTCGTCACATGCAGGTCCACAACGAGGACCGATTCCTTCCATTTTTCTCAAAGCTGAAAAGTCATTGTCATGACGGACTGAGAGGTTCTCAGCAGTCGACAGTCCTCCGCCCTCCACCATCCTGATCTCGGGAGTCTTGACCCGCTGCGCCTCACGCCGTGGCGGAGCAACACCCTGAGGAGCTGTGTTTCTGCAGCAATGACATGCGGCTGAAGGTGCGAGAGCAGACGCTGCACTGGTACTTCTTCACCTCGGCGTGGGTCTGCAGATGAGCTCGCAAATTGGAGCGGTCGGCGAACGCTCGGTTGCAGTGGGGGCAGGAGAAGGGGCGCTCGCCTGCAACGGGAAGAACAAGAAGACGGCAACATGTTAACATGAACACAACTTATTCGGGGCCGGCTTCCCTGTCTTTGAATTCGCAAGAGTTTCTTCGTAACGCCTCTCTCTCTCTCTCTCTCTCTCTCTCTACCGACTTTGCCTCTTTCTCCCTCTCTCACACACACACACACACACACACACACACACACACACACACACACACACACACACACACACACACAAGCATTGTGTCGATAACGAAGAAAGGCTGGAGTGAATTAGCATGATTAAATCACGGCCAGATGACATTAGCATGCTAACAAGTTGCTAAAAGTGCTCAGCGATAACACCTCTCAGCAAAAGCCTTTTGTCTTCATTGTGTCGTCTTTCCCAAAAGCAACGATAAAGACAATGAGTCAGTGGGGGGGCCATTGCTGTCGGCACGTGAAACACAATGAGCGATCAATGAGCACAGAGTCTACAGGAGGCTTCCCCATGTGATTGCATCTGTTGATCTAGCGTTGAAGACATCACATTGATCGGCATAGATAGCCTTCTCCTTCGGGCCACCGCACAAACGGCGATTGACGGACTCGTTGACTCGTGACTTCAAATGGAGACTTTAACCTTTTATTTTTTTGTGTGTGTGTGGGGGGGGGGACGATATCTGGAAACGGGGATCTCACCTGTGTGCGTGCGGATGTGGCCGCGCAGCAGCCACGGCCTGGAGAAAGCCTTTCCACATGTGGTACACACACAGGGCAGGGTGTGTGAGCGGATGTGCATCTTTAGAGCCCCCAGGCTGGTGTACTCTTTGGGACAGTGCTTGCAGAGGAAGGCAGGCCTGCTGGCAGCAACGGGGGCCTCCCTCTCTTCCTCCTCTGGCGGACTGACATGGGCCATGGTGCCAGTACATTTCATCCGCTGACGAGGGGCGTACGTATGCACCGGTTCGGGGCTGGGGGGGTCCGAAGTGCGCCCTTCATCCTCCTCGCCGCTACTGCTGGCACTGCTGCTCAGGCTGGACGGGGAGCTGAGGTCCAAGGGGCCCGGGATGGCGGAGGGCTCTGTTTGGCAGGTGGGCAGGTAGAGAGCAGGCAGCACACTGAGGTCCCACACCAGACCTGCTGTCAAGCAGGTGGCAGTGGATGAGAGCTCAGCCAGAGGATATTTGTCCAGTGACGTAGCTGAGAAGGAGATGGAGGCAGAGTTCAAACTACTGGAACACCAACGGGCTACAAATCAATTGAGACTTAACATAAGACGCATTGGATGCATGTGTCCGGATTCTTTTGACCACATTTTAGTCTTTTTTTGAAGGGGGGGGGGGCGTAAAGTTGCAGCCATTGGAAGGCTTCGTGGGCCGTTTCCTCCCACGTATTCACAAGGGCTTGTAACATGAATGGCGCTCTGTCTGCCGCCACGAAGAGGGGAAAGTGCATATAACGGGCCGCAACTTTATCGGGAAGTTACAGGATGTGGAGTCAAACCACATTAAAACGTGTGTGTGCGGGGGAGGGGGGGGGCAAAAAAAAAAAGAAACACTCATATCCCCACCAACCCCACCACGCACGCACAGTTCCAGCATCTACACTGGAAAAAGGGGACTTTCTCACCAACGTGCGCAATTACGTAAGGAGGGCTTTCGGAACTCAAAATAGAAAGTTTCATCACTCACCATTCTGACATTCCAGTTCACTGTAGTTTGGCTTTTGTTTGGCGAAGTACTTTTTAACCAAGAAAGACCGAGGCATTGTCCTTTTGCGTGTTAAAAAAACGGTGCGTAAAAGTATCCAGCGACGGGTAAAAGGCACAGTCTCCAACGAACAGGGTTACTAAAATTGTCCTCTGCCAAGTGGGAAATATATAAACAGAAATATATATGCTGTTTTTAAAAAAACATCAACTTTCAATGCGCCAATAGTCCAAAAGGTGGAGTAATATTCGGCAGACCAGCGTGCCTGTAGCTTTCACGTAGAATGACTAAATGCTGGCCTCTGTTCTGAAATACTGACACGGGCGCAAGGGGTGTGCTCGCCCCGAGGGCCCTCCCCACCACCACCACCACCACCAGCTCCCTCCTCCTCCTCCTCCTCGTCCTGCTGTTGTGTGCAGGAAAGGGGCTTCATGACCTCTTTCCGCAACCCAAACTCGGAGCTCACGTTAGCAGATGATGGTGAAGGAGTTGAGATGAATGCAAATGACCCGCTTGATCAAAAGCGAGCTGAGCTCAACGGCGATGTAAAGCACTCGCTAGAATAATAAGCAATTAAAGGCAATGATACAAAACCCTCACAAAACCATTTGGGCCACATTTGCGCTCTTAAGTTGCAATCGCTGGACCAAGAGGAGCAGTTATTTACATGTATTAATGCAGGCAGATCACGATTGTGTCAGGCAGGTCAAACTTTTTTTTACTTTGACCAAACGGGCAGGAAATAAATGAGGGCAGTTTGATGGAATTGTAAGTTGAGAGGTTCGTTGTTTTAGTGGATAGCTCTACTTTACGAACGGCAAAAGGAGAGATGGAATCCTTTAAATGCAGTTTTATTAAAAGGGAAAAAAAAGACGTCAGCACCGCAGCACGTTCGAGAACACCACGGTTCTCGTAACTAAAATCACTTCCTGCTTCTCTGACTTCAACAGCCAATCAGAACCTATCAACATAAAAACATGTCTAAGCAAATATTAAACAACAGAATATAATTTAGGTATTCTTAACGTGAAATAATATGATGCTCAAACATAAAATGACAATAATTAATAATATAACATAAGCTTACAGAATCAATATTTTAATCTAGTTTGTAAGCAAAGGCAAACGCTTCTGGTCATGTTTAGGACGGTATTGACTGCATGAACACGGATTATAGCTTCAAATAAAATGGAAACGCTGAAAAAATGAGCAGAAATGCTGAATTTTCACAGAACAGAAGACTCATTCAAGGGTTTAATTAGAATGAAAATGGCGCAAATCATATGCTGTCACACACAGTCACCAGATCACATTAGTTGAACTACTTAAGAAACATTTGGGACAGACAAAAAAAAACACACACACACACTTGGTACACTTGACAGAAATCCAGGGCAACAATTTGGTCATTTGTTGACAAAATACAAGAAAGCCCCATGTGATGATGCAATGTAGTTTCTTCACGAATTCAAAATACAACCAAAATAATAAGCATGTTGTTAAGCGAACGCCATCCTGCCTGTGCCAGTCCAAATTGCCCATTATTGAAAAGGAAGAATTTTAATACAGCTCTTGCATTGTATTTGGACGTAGTTTAAATGCCGTGTAATAGTTTGGGTGACAACTGTGTGTTATAGAAGAATGAAGAAAGTCGGATTGCACTATTGATTCCTTCAAGTATGCACAGCTTCATTTCCTATCTATCCACGCCGCTCTGGGTCATTCGGAGCCCGTTTTGGCCACTAAACTATTTTGTGCACTGCAGACTGGGCACAAATGGATGGATAGTTTACTTGATGACATCAAATTTGTCACACTTTATTACTGTAAACAAAGAAACCACATGACCCTCATGTGAAGCACATGTCAAAATGGGGACGACCCAAATAGATTGAGTTCACGTAGGGCAAAAGCGCCATCTAACGGACAAATGCAGGAGCAAAATATGACATCAATTGACAACCAGAACACTCGGAATTCCCCACATTCATGACGTTAGATGAATAGGCTGGAGCTCGGGCATGTCCAGCTGCGGTCCTCAAGATCAGGTCTGCATTCCATCGCTCCCTCCTGCACCAAGCCTTCAAATTCAAATGATCAGCTCATCAGCAAGTTGTGAAGAAGCCTGAAGACGATCCAGGTGTATTGCAGGAGGCTGAACTCTTCTGAAAAAAAAAAAAACAACAAAACAAAACAGTAATACACTTTAAAATACTGAAATTAAAGTAATTGAAAAATGCTTTAATATAGTGCAATGGTCTTCTATGTGGGGGGGCCCGGTTGTCGATTGGTTAGGGAGTCGGCCTCACAGTGCAGAGGTGCAGGGTTCGACTTTGGCTCTGGCCTTCCCATGTGGAGTTTGCATGTTCTCCCCGTGCCTGTGTGGGTTTTCTCTGGGTACTCCGGTTTCCTCCCACATTCCAAAAACTTGCATGGCAGGCTGACTGAACACTCAAAATTATCCCTAGGTGTGAGTATGAGCGCGGATGGTTGTTCGTCTCTGTGTGCCCTGCGATTGGCTGGCAACCAGTTCCGGGTGTACCCCGCCTACTGCCCAAAGACAGGTGGAATGGGGTCCAGCGCGCCCCACGACCCTTGTGAGGATGGATGGATGGGTCTTCTATTAAACAACTAAAAAAAAAAAAAAAAACGCTGACCGGTATACAGTACTTCATGTCTTTTGCCAGAGATATTACCGTATCGTCACGCTAATAATATAATTGCCGAAGTCATCTTTTGTCTTTGGGAAAGTCATTTTGGCAACATCTGCATTGGACTATGGAGAGTAATTTTCTGGAAAAATCTGACTTTGGAAAAAAATGGAGTTAGGCGGTTATGTTATGAGCTTGACGATATGTAGGATATCATCTTGTCCCCACAGTGTGCTCTTTGACCAATTCTCTGTCCAAGGCCGCATAGGCCATGGCGTTTCTGCGAGCTCTGATTGGTGGTTTTTGGTCGTAGGAGGAGTCATGAAGGGCATCCACTGATTTCTCATTGGTCGATCATTTGAAATACAAACGGTAACGACAGCTCTGCTGCCTTTCTTAAGCCGTTTAAGTCGTGAACGTTATTTGAAACAAAACAAACAGAAAACGAGCAGTCGCCGATATTTACTTTATGACAGTGAGTCAAATCGAGAATCTTTAACCAAAGGTAAGAATTGGATTTGTATCTGTTATTGTGAAACAATAAGTAAATAAATATATAAATATGTAGCAACGGGATGGACTGACAATACTCGCCTCTTGTTAGACTTGATAAAACATGCCTTTCCTAATTGCTTGTCAAAGTTTAACTTAGTTGGCTTATGCCAGAGAAAATATTTGTTCATGTATTGTTTTATGTAACGCGTGTGTCCCTAGCATGTATAAAATATGTGTCACACACTTTATTTCTTCAAATTATCAACATTATTGCTGTCTGTTTAGAAAGGTTAGCGTGCAACGTGTAACTGCTTTTTTTTTTTAATGTATTAAAATGTTTTGGCAATGTTTGATAAAGTACCCGCCCCTTTTTTCGAGAGACAGATGGGCCCTAACATTGAATTTCTTGTGGAGTGGCCATCATTATTCAAATCACTTCCGACCCCATCTTTAATTGGCCATCCTGGTCAGCTGACCAAACATGGTATTTTTTGGACAAATGGCAAAACTGAAAAAGGATTATTCAAGAAGTAGAATTGTGATCATGTACAAACGTGTTAAGAATTTGTATTGTCCTTCCCAGCAAAAGACAGATAAGTCCGCGAGAAGCAGTAATGCTCAGAAAACTCGCTCATTTGCTTTTTGGGGGCGAGGAATCAGAGGAGGCCGCCTCAGCCCCCGAGGAAGTCAGGTCCGAAGAACTGGGTGAAGAATGGCTTGTGGTCAATGGTCAAGGTTGGTTGGAACTCGGTCTATCTATCTGTCTGTCTGTCTAAAATGCCATGTACAGTAAGCATACACCGACTGTACCTTCCCTCAACATTTTTCTCTTCCCAAATCTACTCAATTTCACACATTGTTCAGCGACACAAACCCACTACGTATCTTCACTTGTATCCACAGAGGCCGATTCTGCAGAGGTCCCAAATGAGGAGGCCCCCACTTTCTCAGACTCTGCTCCTAATGCAACGGCTCTTACAAAACTAGAAACAACAAGGTAAAATATATAATGAAGTGCATACAATCGAAATGCTGCCTTTAAACATCTAATTGTAGAACTAGTCAATCATCACATTAAACTTTATTTTGAAGGCTACTCAATGAGGAGTTGTACATTGAATTATTTTACATGTGCTTTTTTTTTCGTTGTTTTGTTTTAGTGTAACAGATCCAGCGAGTGAGCAGTCCACCGTTGAAAGCAAAGAAACTGCCTGTAACTTGCGAGCCATCTCAGCATTACTTTTTCCTCCTGAAGCCCTTCAAGAGGTCACAAAGCTAAACTGCTTGCAAAAATCCTGTACATCCCACCACCCCGTGTCCCGAAATGCTATTCAGCGACACAATCGTGTTCGGCATGGATTCCAGCACCATTCCTTCCTGCTTCAACAGCCAGCACGCCGCACCTTTAGTCACTAAAGTGCGGCAAGGGCAACCATGAACGCGTGCGTACAGCTGACACCCCCTTCAATTTTTAGATGTCTTTGTTTTAAACACATAATTTCTTCTAAAAATCAACAAATCTTGGACTAATTTTACCATAATTAATTACTGCACTTGTTTTTAATTCAAACTGGCAGCTACCGGTATATGAGAAGCATTTCGGATGATGATTTTATTTTATTTTTTTAAATCATTGAATTTTGGACATGTATTTTTTTCATGGATGCAAATGTGTATTCAAATTACCTGTGAGAGGGCTCATATGAGTTGTACTATTTTTTACTTGCATGTATTTGAGTAGGGTGGCACGCTGGTCGATTGGTTCGCACATCTGCCTCACGTTGCAGGGGTGCAGGGTTCGATTCCAGCTCCGGCCTTCCTGTGGGGAGTTTGCGTGTTCTCCCTGTGCCTGCGTGGGTTTTCTCCGCGTGCCCCGCTTTCCTCCCACATTCCCAAAACATTCATGGCAGGTTAATGTGAAACACTCGAAATTGTCCCTCGGTGTGATTGTGAGCATGGATGGTTGTTCATCTATGTGTGCCCTGCGATTGGCTGGCAACCAGTTCAGGGTGTCCCCTGCCGACTGCCCGAAGACAGCTGGGATAGGCTCCGGCACGCCCGTGACCCTCCTGAGGACCTTGTACTTCCAACAGAAATGTCAAAACACTGAACTGTGAAGACTTGTTATCTGCTGTCGTTTTTGAGGACTATTACAGTCGCTTGTCAAAAATGACTACACGAGTGGATATTGGACTTTGGAGGGGGGGGTGGGTAGATTTCAGGAAATGCCCTGCTTCAATTACAATTTGTATTTTGGCAGTCCTCTCCATCATGCTATTCACAGTTTGACATCAGGAGAGCAAGATGACCCCAAGCAACGGATTAACAATACCTTACAACATGATCCCCGAGGGAAGTGGCCACTGAGCTTGGGATTGCTGTGTCATCAGAGGGACTGGCATTCAAGCGGCTGTCCTTGGAAATTTTTTAAAAACAGGAAATTTGGCATTTTTGTAGAACAGTAAGCTATACAAAAAACACTCCACAGTTGCATATGCATTCAAAAGTTGAGAGGTCCAATTAAGTTAATCCTGAAATGACGCCTAAAAGTCAAGTATCTCTGAGTTGAAGTTCCTGTACAAGGGAATGCATCATACATGACATTTTTAGGTGTTTTTTTTTTTTTTTTTGTCTCTCCCTTTTTTTTCAGTTACTGCCTGCATGCACGTGCCCACTGAGGAGCGCCAAGCCTATTATGTAAAGTTGATGCACACTCAAGATACTGTCACACTTGCATGCCAGCTGCATCGCAGGGTGGAACGTGTCACATGCATGCAGTCTGGGGACAAACCTGTCACTCAAAGCGTGCATTGGTTTCAGTAAATAGTTCTCCGGGTAGCAATTTGCAGCAGCTGTGCAGTGTTGGGGAAGTTGCATTACCTCAATTTTGGTCATTTAAAATCTCAATTTTAGCGGAGCAGAAAATTCAACTTTTTGCCATCTCACACACCCATTCAACTAGTTCAGTTTGTCTCTCCCAGGTCTATTTCAGTGTGCAATTTCTGCAAGTATTAAATACTCAACTCCCGCAATGCACTGCGTTTCCATATATTCTGAGTGAAATGCATACTTTTTTCACATACATGGAGTCAATGATTAGAAAATAAATACCGTACACGGTGCACATGCATCAAGATACTTTCTGTGTTGGGTGTCGTAGTGTGGGTAAATAAGGGTACAGTTGATGAATATTGCCTCTATTTTTGTACCCACTGCAGTAAACTTTCACCATGTGAGACCAAAAAGTATCGTCAGACCCATTTGCTAACCGGGTCTAACCGTGTACTCCAAACTTGGGCCCGGGTAGCAAATGCACTGAAAGCCGCCGATTCCTTGAGTCGTGAGTTTTCCTCTCTCTCGCTCTCTCTCTCTCTATTCGTGCAATATTGTGTGAGAACATGTGGCACGGCCGAGGTTATGACACCAAAAGTCAGGCAAATATTCATTGGCCATTATCTTATCGCAGCTGCAGTCACGCACTGTCATTGAAACGTGTCCCAGTGAGTGCACGCACTTTGTGTTAAGGGCGCAGAGGAGATGAAGTGCAGAGGCAAGTGGGCGTGACCGGTCGCACTCGGGTCAAAACGAGACCAAGCCAGGAAGACTCTTGCTCGCTCAGCCACCTCGCGAGGGGACAAGAAGCTTCAGAGAACGCCCGGGATGATTTCCTACGACAACTTGTCTATGACTTGCCGTTGAGTCGTTGGCGAGAGCGGTTCGTTTCCCGAAGGGAACCATCGAGGTGAGTGTTTGTTTTGACAACACTTTGGCGAAACCGATGAGAACCCGAGCGCCTTTTCACGCGTTGCATTTCAACAGATCGACTGCGTCAAAGACCCGCTGGCCGTATTCGGATTCAATGGAGCCCATCCCCGTGCCGAAGGAGAACTTTTTCATCGTCATACGGGGAAAGTCGCGGAAAGGCTTCTCCCGCGGATGCATCGGTCGGCCGGAGGCGGAGACGCCTCGCGGGGAGCTGATGGGGCTTCTCTACCCCGGGGGCGCAAACGCGGGGAGTCCCAAGAACGGAGGCGTCGTGCGCAGGGAGGACACGTACCCCCTGAGCCGCCACCAAGCCCAGCTCCTGCTTTTCATCTCCTCCGTAAGCAAACGCCTGGAACTGCTGTGCAACCCGCAGCTGTTCTCGGCCATCTGTGAGCTGACTGTGGATGACCTGGTGGTGGTCAAGTACAAGAGGGGCCATCAGCCGGCACTGGTGACGAACCTGATGCGAATTGGCAGGAAGGAAAATAAAGACGATCTGCAGATGTTGGCGTTTGAGGTGGAATTTGTGGTGGGTCCCCTTTTACCATGCACTTACACACCGTTCAAGGAGAACTGTGGACGTAACCCTGAGAGATGCTTGCGGCCACGGGCTAATAATCACGATACAATACCATACAATACGGCTTGAGTTATTTCGTGCTTTCACAACAGCTGTTGCTGTTATACAGCCACCCAAATCTTTAAAAAAACGGTGTACTTGTCTGTTCTTCCCACTCAGCTTCACTCTTGTCTGCCCTGTAGGACCATGATCAGACTTTGTCATCCAAAAAGGCTGCCCCTGTGCCCCTGTTCAGCGCCGCGGACATCGTCCAGGTGGTCCCATCCTCCGCTCTCCCCCATGGAATAAACTGGAATGCCGTTCAGCATAGTGGTATGTATGCGGTCCATGCTTTCTCATCAGAAAATGTAACAACAAATGTGGTGTAGTGGAAAAACTGGTCCGGTTACTTTGGAATGCAGAAGAGCAGAGTTATCACATGGTATGGCTTGGCGTGGTTGCGGAGTTGCCTGTCTATTTTCAACATGCTGTAAACCTGTGTTGTGTTAGTCAACAGCATGTCACAAGATTGAACGTATGTCATGACCTTTTTAACCTGGACCCCTCCCTACATTTTCACAGGCACAAACAAAAAGGTGATGCGCATGAACTCCATGCCAATTATTCGATCTCTTGGCCAAGTGAAAGAAAAGCATCGAGTGCAGACTGGCATCAATCTGAGTCAAAGTCACAACGCATCACCTGCACCTTTGGAAGTGGGGTCCTTGGTGGAGGTTGTGTCCAACACAGGGGTCACGGTTTATGGGGTTGTGAGGTGGCTGGGTGTCCCTGGAGGAAAAACTTCGGAATGGGCTGGGATTGAATTGGTGAGTCTCACGAAAGCTTTTAAAAAAAAAAAAAGTTCTCTGAATATTTGCAATTGGTTCTATCTGTCATGTGGATCAGGACTACGATGTGAACGGTTGCTCTGATGGGACATATGGAGGCCAGCGGTTGTTCACCTGCAAAAGGAGCAGGGCTTTGTTTGTCCCTGTCACGAAATGCAGCCCTGACAGCAGGTTTGTCTGCTCCTCTTCAGCAAGTGACACCAGCAGCCAAGTGGACATACCTCCAGGTTAGTTGCTTGATGCAAATGAACGTCAGCCATTTCGCAATGAACCAGTGTGAACCAACAGCGTGACTTGTTTATTTCTCTATCTTATGTAATGACTTTTTAATGAAATTTGCTCATTCACTGCCAGCCCAGTTAGCACCAGTTTTTTTATTTTTCCACCACTGAAATTGGCTCGAGCTCTAGTTCTGGTGTTTAAGATGGCAGCAATTCTTTGTTGGGCCAGACTCTAGCACCCACCACGTCCCCGGACACACGGAAGTTTTGCACAAACTGTTGAGCGGTGAACTCCAGCAAAATTGTGTCCTGTCAGTAGAGCGATGGCGGATGTTCCTGGATAGCATGCGATCTCCGACTCGCAGTCAGCTTCATGATCATGACTAAGAGATATAAGCCTGTGCTGATTGCATGTCTATGACTGTTAGATATGCCATACAAGTCTAATCAAGGCTATACTAAGTTGCCTAGCAGATGCTAACAGCGCATTATGATGGTTATTATTAATAGCACAGGTGCTCTTGGGTAAACGTCGACGTAAGCAGTGACATTTAGACGCTTTATGAAGACGTCATGACGTCACTCCTAACTTGGCTCTTTGCCGGTGGAAAACCAAACACGTTCTTGTTAAGCACCTACAAAGCACAGCACCGGCACTGAACGAGCACCGAGTTCTTTTTGGGTGGGAAAGGGGTAATGGATTACCGTACACTCTTTGTCAGGGCAAGATTAAAACTCTTATTAGAGGTGAATTGCACATAGAGGTCATTTGGAAAGGTCGAAAATTATATTTGATGTATCACTGGAACAGAAAAAAAAAACTATATATAGATATATATACATATATATATGTATAATTTTTTTTTCCCATTTTGTGTGCTCTAGTTCCACCATATGTGGACTCTGAGGAGTACGTGGCGCCGGTTGCTGACTCCGAGGCCATGTCTTTGTTAGTGGGAAGAATGAAAGGGATTCAGGGTCACATCAACTCCTGTTATCTGGATGCCACTCTTTTCAGGTAAAACCAGTTCACCAGCCGTCAGAACACCTGACTCTCAAGTGGTGCCGTGATGTCACCTCACTTTTGATCTGGAACAATGTCAAGTGACAAAAGTGGTTAAGTGCATCCAGACAAAAGCTGTTGTTTTCTTTCTCCAGTTTGTTCAGCTCCTCTGTGACCCTGGATAGTATCTGCCAGTGGCCCGCAGACACTGTGCAGCCCGTCGCTTCCACACTGAGAAAAATAGTCAATCGTTTACGCAGGTATTCTTGCTTTCCTTCAAACTTTCCGTCCTCATATTTCACTTGCAAAACGCAAACATTGCGATCGTGGAAGTAACCCACTCCACTCGTGGTTTCTTCCACGAGTGGGGTGCACATATTTAGATTTCTTAATGATATGGCACTTTTTCTCCTCGCTCTCCATTGTTTTGCCTTTTGTCCCTCACTGACCACAAATGCGTTTCTTGCAGACAAGGGTTCGTGCCTGCTGCAAGTGTCATGAATTTCCGCAATCAGCTTGGCTGTGACACCTTTCGAACAGAGGAAAAAGGTCCATATTCTTCCAAGTCATTTTTCCAAAAACGGTCTTCTTGCCAAAAAGCATGGCCGATGTTCAGCATCTTATTTCTTTCCCCCCCCCACTGCAGACCCAGAGGAATTCATCACAGTTCTCTTCGAGAAGGTTCTTGGCATTGAGCCGCTGCTTAAACTCAGGTATGAATCTTTTGGCAGTCCGTCCGCTTTGAAATCATTGGTCTGTATCGCTGATTTAAGTTAGGACCTACACATTTGCACCAGGTCGAGAAGTGAAAGTTATCAAGGGGCCTACACCTTCCAGATCTTTCTGGAAAAGGAGCAGATGGCACACATACCCACAGTTCAACAACTGCTGGACACTTCCTGCCTGTCATGTGATGTCAAGTTTGAAGAGGTATGGAAAAGTCTCCACATTCGGGAGGACAAACTAGCAGTGCCTGACTTTTTCATTCTTTTCCTTCTGTTATCAAATTGTACCCGTTCCCTAGATGCCATCCTGTCTGATAGTTCAGATGCCAAGGTTTGGAAACAAGTATAAAATGTTTTCTCACATCATTCCGTCCATGGAGCTGGACATCGCCGACCTCCTTTACAACTGTAAGGAGCACACAGCGTAGTACGTATCGGAACAAAAAGTATGTGAATCACTGAGCATCGTGTTAAGACGACCTCTATGTGTTCGTACAGCTCCTCGTCAATGCTTCATCTGTGAGCGATTGGCAGAGTACGAGTGTCTCCAGTGTTTGCCAGATCGCAAACTGCACCCAGGGAGAATCAAACAATACTGCACCACCTGCAATGCACAGGCAAGGCATTTTTTTTTTTCACAGTGTATAAGTTGCCTTCCCGATAAACATTACTTCCAATTTATTTTCGTTCCTCTTTGTTTTGAAGGTACACAGGCATTCCTCGCGACAGGGGCATTCCCCAAAACCTCTGTCGGTTCCAGCCGTGGTAGCCACAGCTTCCCCTGCAGCTCGGCACACGATGCAGCTGTTTGCTGTGCTTTGCATTCACACGAGCCACTACGTGTCCTTTGTCAAATCTGGCTCTGACCAGCACTCCTGGCTCTTCTTTGACAGTATGGCAGACAGATGTGGTGAGGATTCTTTGCTCCCTTTTTTTGCTTTGAGATAAGCAATGACATATTTCCCCAAAAATGTTCGTGCAAACGCTGACATGTTTGGCTTTTCGAATGAAACGGTTGCTCGTGACTGTTTTGCTCTGATAAAGCAGTCTCAATAAGGGCAGATAAGAATGCACTCTGACTTCTTTTGTCGCCTCTATCTCTTTTCAATCTGATGTCTAATCTCAACGCTGCTCTTTTCCTTGCAGGTGACGATCAAAGTGGCTTCAACATCCCAGAGATCCGAGCTTGTCCAGAACTGGGTGACTTTTTCTCACTGTCTGAGGAGGAGCAGGCACGGGCAAATCCCTCATGTGCTCCTGAACTTGTGCGCAGGCTGCTGTGTGACTCCTACATGTTTTTATACCAAAACCCAGGAATGACTCTTCCCGGTACAAATCATCAGCGGCCTTAAATGTATGACTACAAGGACACAGTGTTCTTGCAACAGTGCCTTAATAATAACTTTGAACTTTATCAACCACATTTTGATTATTGCATCCAAACAGCAGAGAGTGGATTTTTTTTTGGGGGGGGGGTGCATGGCACAAAATGCAGCAATGTTCAGAAGGAAATACTAGGAAGCTCACTACAGCTTTGTTTTCTATATTCAGGCCAGTCAGTAGTAAAACAAATTTTAAATTACAACATTTTATTGCATTCTTTTATTCTCGTCCCTTTGTCATGAATTGAGGCTGTTTATGATAAGATTTAGAATGTCGCCTTTCAATGTTTTCTGCTTTTTCTTTCTATTTTATGCAATAAATAATCTATTACAACACATGAGATTGACCTGAAAGGTACCTCCTTTCCCATCTTTTGCCTTTTGACAAGTGGACTGGAAAAAGTTCAAACATGGTCATACTGGGTTTACTGTAAACAATTGCGCTGTGGTTCATTTTTAATGTATGAAAACATTGCGTTGACACCTAGTCGGATCCACGGGTCTTTTATTTTCTTCCTTTAAGAGGTTGCAAGTGATTGTGGTAAAATAATAAATGTTTTTTTTTTTAATCCAGAAGTGTTTGATGTTTTTCTAACCGCTTACTATGGTACTATGGTGTATCATGCACAGTGGCGCTCGTTTTAGTGAGTATTACACAAGTGTTCTTGAACGGTTGCGTTTTTGAGAGTGAACCCTTTCATCAATATTCCAAATGACTTGGGGTTCTGGGATGCTGGTAAATTTATAGTGTAACGTGGATGTTACCGCCCTCTTTTGGATGGAATTAGGTTTGCCAACTCAACATGATTTGAGCAAACTGAGTAACCGTCATTCCACGTCATCTGTTATTTTGCTTGCTCACAGGTTGAACAAAACGCGCGTTAGACACATTTTTCATTTCCGTTAAACTCAGAGTATGCACGGAAGTTGCTGTGATGTGTGAATTTAAACCAATTTGCAATTTTACGAATAACACGTGCGTAAATCTGAAGCCATTCAATTTGTTTAAAAAACAAAACAAAACAATGGTGCGTTGACATATATACACGATTCGTGGAGCTACCTGGACGTTACTGATGCTGCTGAAACAGTTTTGGTTGAGAGCATTTCTGCCAGTTTCTAGAGCGCAAAACATGGCAGGTGACCTTTATGTTCTCCATTGCACATCAACTGTAGTCTGAAACTCCCGACTTGTTATGTGATCGCTTGTGCCATTGGCTCTCAAGGTTACCGAGGGCAGGTTGGCCGGCCTGGCTTGCGTTCTCCTGCCCACACTCTGGTCACCTCCAAATTTTAAGTCATAGCACAACACCATTCCAAGGAGCAGATAATGTCATTCGAACAAGGGTCCTTTTCGTACAGTTGACCACATGGTGATGGTGAGCGTTTTTAAGAACAAGCCGCCGTCATGCGTCGAGCCTGTTCTGTGGATACAACTAAAAGTAGTGAGCTTGGGAAGGTTGAGGTTCTGCCCGCTGCCGCCGCGGCTAAAAAGCAACACGTTTCTCGGAAGGAGGAGCTACACTACTGCGAACCATTTAAATGCAGCGCATGCGCACTGCAATTCAATTGGCACTTAGGTCATAGCCAGCCAATCCTTTCTTCATTCTGCTTGCTGCTGCTCGCCGGTCGTGTGGTTACCCCTCACGTTTGTCATTTTTATTTTATTTTGTTTGTCAGTCACCGCTTAGGAAATGAGTGGGGACCATTCCCACAACGAGGACCAGGTAACGCTGAGCACAGTTCGTGACGCCGCCATCAATGTTCACCGCGTACATGCTTGCTAGCGTTCAATTTGTTTGGCTTGACAGCGTAACTTAGCTAACTGTGACTAGTGGCTGCTAATGCGCGTTGGCCGAGTGTCTTCTTTAAGTCTCCTCGTTGTATTAATAGTAATGATAATAGATAGTAATGATTAATAATAGCGCGTTGACAACTTGTACTCAATAATTGGTAATGATGACACAGCAGCGTGCTGACGCGTTATTACTTAGTCTTATTTGGTTAGACGCAGATTTGAATAAAGTGTCGTAAGGCTGGATTTAATGTGGCGTTAGCATTGCGCTTGAGCAGTCTCTGTATTAGCCGCCAAGTCATATTGCCAGCCAGCCAGTCAGCCAGCGTAGCACGTTAGCTCACCTAGCTAAGAAGCTAAGATACTGTGGATTTGCCATCCAGCAAGTTCAAAGTTAGTTAGCCGCCGGCTGGTTAGCTTCGACGAAATGTAACCCGTGTCTCCTTTCTAATATATTTCAGATCGACTGTGGCTCTCGGGTTAACGGTAAGCGACCAGTATACATCTCGATTAAAATGCTTATCTGCCCCACAAATTTGCACATATCTTCGGTTATAAATGACAATCTGGGATTAGTTTCGAGCAGGGCACAGAAATGGCGTCCAGAGACTAAGTCCTCTCTTTCACTCACAAGCGTCTATTGTTCAAAAGGGAGGTCTTGCCACAGCTGTTCGGAAAATACTATCGGCACTTCGGATGCGTATTTGGACAGAGCTCGAGGTGTGTTATCGATTTCTCGCGTTCGATGTGGCCGTCCGTCCCGTTAAGCGGGCGAATTTTCCACCTGAAAGTGAGGGTTTGGGGGTTGAGGACTTAGTCTCTGCGCCATTTTCTTTTTCGGCGCAGCGGCCTGACTGCTGCGAGCTGAACCCGAGCTCGCCGCCTCCGAGGTGTCCGACTGTACATGCCTCCATGGCTGAGAGGGCGACCCATCTCGTCTCGACCACGCTCCGCTCGGGAACGCGATGTGACCGGCGATAGCAAAGGCCTCATTGTCGACACCGGCACGATTGTTTCGATCACCGGGGGTGAATTTGTCATTGCCCGAGAGAAAGTAACTTTTGACAGCCTTTAAGTCGACTTCAAGCAGCAAAGTGATGGAGGGGATCAAAAACGATTTCAAACCATTTGGTTAGCTGCATTCTGAATATCCCAAATGCTACAAATAAGAAGAATGAAGGATTGTCTGGTTCTTTCTTACAAAATTGATTGTTTCGATCACCAGGGGTGAATTTGTCGAGAGAAAGTAACTTTTGACAGCCTTTAAGTCGACTTCAAGCAGCAAAGTGATGGAGGGGATCAAAAACGATTTCAAACCATTTGGTTAGCTGCATTCTGAATATCCCAAATGCTACAAATATGAAGAATGAATGATTGTGTAGTTCTGTCTTAAAAAATTGACATTGGCTGAGGTGGAACAAGATACATATTTTTTTCGGGGGGGGGTGTCACAAATGGCTAAGGTGTCACCTGCAATTCAAACAAATAAAAGCTTTTTTTTTTTTTTTTTTAATCAGGCGTTTAAAAACTCGCTGAGAATGAGTTCTTCCGAATCGCAATCCAGTCATAATATAATGTATATATTCAAGTTAACAGGAAAGAACATAGAGTACAATTACAAACCAAAAACGATGTGAACAGACGACCCTCCAACTTAATTTGCGGGGCAGTAAATGCCGATTAAATGTACAAGATGCAAGCGCAACCAAAAAAGAACGCCTACACGTCAGAGCAGGAGCACCTGTGATCAAGAAATCGACTAACCTTTAGTTTAAAACTATTCAAAGAACACCACCAAAGCCGTTTTGAGTTGACTCTGAAGGTTTTCCGGTTAGATACCCTGATGAATCAACAACTTCGTGATTATCAAATTATTCAATGATGGAATGGAGTTTGATCAAGTAATCCCTAAGCGTGCTTGTTTAATTTAAAATTGACCACGTTCTTGGAATTTCAGCCTCTCCACTGTCAATATTCTCTGATTTGTCTCGTCCTCTGTGAAAGCAGACTAAATTAGTAAAAGCTTGTCGAGCAGTTATCTTGGAGTTAAATGACACCAAGACCTTTGCAAACATCTACGTTTACTTTGAGGAGACAATGCCAACGTTTTGCCAGTGATCTGACACTTTGCAGATCAAACTGTCGCCGAATCAGAATGAGTGTTTTCTGCGCAGTCTGTGTTAAAGATTGCCCCATTTTTCAAAATGTCATTCAATGATGGATCGCTAAAAATAATTGTTTGTCGCTTTGCAAAGACGGCACTATAAAACGCAGCGAGGTGCTGCGTCCGAGCGCTCTGGAATTTCGACTCGTTGCAAACTAGAGGTGATTCTACCATTGAGTTTATCAAGAACGGCCTCCTGTATAGCAAAGTATAAGCAGCGCTGCCGCCTGGGTGGACCAACCACATGAGTAAGAAGACCAGTGACGTCCTCGATGCTGATTTTGTAAAAAAAAATTGAGAGCCGCATGGTCAAGCAGCCTTGAGTTGAACAACCGGATGATAAACAGGGACTACATTTTCAGCCAATTTTTGTTTGCTTACAGAACATATTACAGAATTCAGGATCTGACCGTGTTTTCCCGCTGAACATATTTCGCAAATGCATATGCTCAATTATTTTTTTTTTTATCAGCGCTTTGAACTACAGTAATATTTGTTATATGAATCAAATGGCCCGTATTGATGGAGGGATTTTGTTTTGCCTCTCCAAGGGTGACACGAGCCAAAAGCATCAGCTTTAGAAATTTTGAGCCACCCGAAAACTCGTTCATCCGTGGATCTAAAAGGGCGCCCGCATCTGCTTTTCTTACCTGAAAAGTAGGGCAAGCGGCCAAAACTGTTCTTTGACATGTTTTGACCCGTCACTGTTTTGCATTATCTCAAACAGTGGCTGCTGTCGCCACAAGGGGGCGCTCTGTGGTTGTATCATTGAATTGAAGCAGTATTATGTATTTTTTCCCCTTCCTTGAGATAATGTGCGTGAGTCCGTGTGTGGTTGGTCATACAGAACAAGTGATAGACCACTCACACTGCACATCGTGCTGGGGATATCCCAAAACCGAGTGCAGATTTGGATGGCCACTGTCCCCACCTAACGACCTCCTTTTTCTTGTAGATTCCCACAGGCATAAATATAAAGAACACAAACACAAGGACCACAAGAAGGATAAGGAACGGGAGAAACTAAAGCACGGCAATGGGTACAAGCTGCAGACTGCATACACCTCCTCGACTGGGGTGGCGCCCAATATACATTTTGTCCCACCAAATCTGATCTCTGCTGCGTGTGTGTTTCATGCATTGCCACATCAGTGACCACGCGTCTGACAAAAAACATCGAGACAAGGATAAGATGAAGCACAAAGATGGAAGCACAGACAAATTGAAGGACAAGCACAAGGAGAAGAAGGTGCGTTGCAATGTCGTCTAAGCATTGGCATTTTGGTTGCAGCCGCTCTCTGTCCTGTTGAATCATGTTGACTACGCGTAAGTACGAAGGAGAAGGAGGTGAAAATGGTGTGTCTTACCCATTATTGCTTTTTTTAATCTTACACAGAAAGTGTTATTCCTACGAAAAGGTTTTGAAGGGAATGACCGTTGATTAACAAGTGTGCTAACCTTTTATAGATTAAAGTCCTTGATGGTAAAATCAAAAAGGAGAAAGAGAATGGATTTGCCAGGTATGGATGCTCGGCTTCTCTTTTAAGGCATTCATTGTGATCCACGGAAGGGGGGGCCGGGGGGTGGGGAGAGATGTTTTGTATACAAATATATGGCCCACCCTGTATTAAATAAAAATGGAAGCTTGATTGTTTTGCTGCTTTTTCAGCCCACCACATGTGAAGTGCGAGCCCGACGATGACTTTTACCACTCCCCGAAACACGAGAAGTCTCTCAAGCGAGAGCGCGACGATGACGAAGAGTGAGTGCCCAGTGAACATTTGAACGTGCCATTCATCATGTGTATAATCTTTGTGGTCCCTCGGCTCACTGGTGTTTTTAATGCTCATGTTTCAGTTATGATTTTAAGTCCAAAAAAGTTAAGACAGAAAATGACAAGAAGGACAAAAAAAGGAAACAAATGGAGGTAAGTTAAGTACATCAGCTTGTGTGCAAAAATACAGACTTTTTTTTTTTTTTTTTTTTTTTTTTTTTTTTTTTTTTTTTTTTTTAATGAATATGGCGGTTCCATGAAAAACTGGAGAACATGTCGAACGTTATTTTGAGATTTCATCAACGGTATTCAACTCAGTAGGCTTGAATATATTCCAAACCCGTTTCGTTGAGCGCCACCAAAGTGACAACTGCCTCACCCAGAGATTACAGGAAAAGGAAACATTCACTGTTAGGGGTTGTTACAGCGCTGCCTTTTCTAAAATTTGTGCAAAGATGGCTTCCATTTATATGGAGTATGAGCAAAACTCCAAAATGACAATGCGCAAATAGCTGTCATAACAATAAACCATGTCAATTTGCACGGGGTTTGGAGGCACTCTGAGGTTTAGTATTGGTTTTCATTTGTTCTCTCCGCACCACATCACAGCCCCCAAGACTTTGCGCTTTTTCAAAGTATTTATTTATTTTCTGCTTTGAAATGCAGGTATCGAACGATTTTTGGAGCATTAACTCCAACCTGCACTTGCCTAGCTTCTATTTTAACAGTGTTGTTCTTTTTACTGCCCAGTCGTAAAGCTTATCAGTGGACCGATTCCAGTAACAGATGACATATTGCATCTGGGGGTTGAAAGGTCCTGCTTCGCATTTGCAAATGTTTGTAGCCCAGTTGATTTTGCATGTTTTACTGTTGGTGTTTTTACATCACGTTATCGCGAAGTGGGTTTCACGTAGATCAAGCCGGCAGTCGGGCTTTGTGGCGAGATGTGAATCGGCGCTTGGGTTGGGCTCACTCTTTTCATTTTCTCTTCCCTTTTTAGGACATCAAGCCTAAAAAAACAAAAGATAAAAAAGGAGAAACTGCTGATGGAAAAAAGAAAGCAAAAAAGGAACCAGAAGAGAAATGGAAATGGTGAGTTGTTGAGAGTGGATTTGGTGCAATTCTTTCATGCCATTTAAAAAAATATAGTTATATTGCGCGCTGACTCCAGGTGGGAAGAGGAGAGATACACAGATGGTGTCAAGTGGAAATTTCTGGAGCACAAAGGACCTGTGTTTGCCCCTCCATACGAGCCCCTCCCGAGCAAAGTCAATTTCTACTATGATGGTAAGAAACCCGGGTTGACTTACCACCACTTCTACCCGGCCGATCATCATATTTAATTTCTTTCTTTATCTATCTATCTTGAAGGTAAGGCAATGAGGCTCAGCCCAGAGGCAGAAGAGGTGGCCACGTTCTTTGCCAAAATGCTGGATCATGAGTACACCACAAAGGACATCTTTCGAAAAAACTTTTTCAAAGATTGGCGGAAAGTAGGTGGAAAATAAGCCGAGTTGTCTTTTGAGAGTTTCTGCAAATCTTTTTTTAATTTTTTTTTAATTACTAGGATATTTTTCCAAATGCAGGAAATGACATCGGAGGAAAAGGCTAAGATCACAGATTTGAAGAAATGCAACTTTTCGGAGATGTCTGACTACTTCAAGGCTCAGTCGGAAGCCAGAAAGGCCATGTCCAAGGAAGAGAAGCTGGTAAGCTTCTGTCACCTTGATGGTCCATCCATTTTTGAATGTGCTTCTCCTCTCGAGTATCATAGTCGTGCTGGAGCCTGTCCCTGCTCTCCATCGGCGGAGTTTGTCGATGCATGCCCGGCGATTGGCTAGCAACCAGTTCAGGGGGTCCCCCGCCTACTGTCCAACGTCAGATAGGATACACGAAGCACTCACTAAGACTCAAACATGCACATTTACTCCCTCTGTCTCTCGCACACATAGCTGAACTGTCATCAGAACACAAAGCAAACAGCATCTGCAGAGCTAATCTTGCTTGGCTTCATGGTGCACCCCGCATGCACGTGCAGATACAAATTCTTGGTTTGTCACGAGCCTTTTGCAGAGTTTAGCTTTTTTCTGTACTCATGGCATTCATTAACTTTTTTTTTTTTCTTTGCACCTTTTTGTAGAAAATAAAAGCAGAGAACGAGCGCCTCTTGCAGGAGTACGGCTTCTGCATCATGGACAACCATAGGGAACGTATTGCTAACTTTCGCATTGAGCCCCCTGGCCTGTTTCGTGGTCGTGGAGACCATCCCAAGATGGGCATGCTTAAACGTCGGATCAGACCTAAAGACATCATCGTCAACTGCAGCAAGTTAGTGTTTTTTTTTTTTTTTTTTTTTTTTTAACTCTGAGCCGTCAGGCCTTTTGGCAGCAGCACGGTTCCATACAGGGTCTTTGGAGAGTTACCGTGTACTGATTGTTTTAGGAAACAGACCATGTTTTAATACAGAAAACAGAAGGTACATGTGTCGTGTGTATCGAAACAATTCTGGTGATTTATAAAGTGCCCAGTACCTTTACCAACAACCCATAATAATGCACGCAGGGACTCCAAGCACCCGCAGCCTCCCCCGGGCACAAAGTGGAAAGAAGTTCGTCATGATAACAAAGTGACGTGGTTGGTGTCGTGGACGGAGAACATCCAAGGCTCCATCAAGTACATCATGTTGAACCCCAGCTCGAGGATCAAGGTAGGCTTCAGCCCGACTTTTATCGCTGCGCGGGCCTTGTTTCATCACTCGGCATTTTCATCTTTTGTCAGTCAGCTTAGCAAGAACGAGTGGAAGTTTAATGCGAAAATCTGCGACCACCGGGCAACTCTTGCAAAAAAGCGGTTTTGCTATCCAACTGAATCCTGAACTCGCACTCTTTACAGTTAAAAGCTGGACACAAATGCTTGGGTAAACGTGTTGTGTATCTTGTTTTAAAATCTACTCACCAGTGGCGCGAAAAAAAACTTGAGTCAGGGTGTTGGTGAACCAGTCAGCTGTCCAATATGGCACAGCATCAAACACGCAGCCCGTATGAAGGAAAAAGGTGCTAGTTTCAGTTTGTGATGTTTGTGAATGGTCACATGGAACTGAACCCCAAGTCAACCGCAGTACAAGTGGGATTTTTTTTCCCCACTTCTTCTGTGAGTAGACCTCAGCTCAGAGCCAAAGGAAGTGTGTAGGCCTCAGTCTATGGTGAGCCGGACTGTCGGCGTTCATTAGTAGTGGTCCAAACATTTGTGAGCCAACCGTCATCCGTTCTGTTTGTGCGCAGGGAGAGAAGGACTGGCAAAAGTATGAAACGGCCCGCAGACTAAAGAAATGCGTGGACCGCATCAGGACCCAATATCGCGACGACTGGAAGTCCAAGGAGATGAGGATCCGACAGAGAGCCGTGGCGCTTTACTTCATCGACAAGGTGAGCGCCGCGCTGCCCGCGTGCGTCGCTCTCAGTCGGAAGGTGTCGAAGGCTCGGGGGCCAACTTGCTCTCTGCTGTGCCGCAGCTGGCTCTGAGAGCAGGTAACGAGAAAGAGGAAGGGGAGACCGCCGACACGGTCGGCTGCTGCTCCCTGAGAGTGGAACACCTCAAACTCTATCCAGAGAACGACGGGCAAGAGTATGTGGTGGAGTTTGACTTCCTGGGGAAAGATTCCATCCGATATTACAACAAAGTCCCGGTGGAAAAAAGGGTAAGAACGGCAACTTGGGGAGCACGGTCTCACGGAGCGACGCTTTATTCCTGGCTGCGCTTTCTCTTTCAGGTATTTAAAAACCTTCAGTTGTTCATGGAAAACAAAGAGCCGGACGACGACCTGTTTGATCGCCTGAACGTAAGCTATGCCCTTGGCGTTCAACCGCAGTCTGCAGCGAGATGCCGAACAACATTTTATTGTTGTCGTGCAAGCCCGAGCAGAAGTCAACCAGCCGGTACTTAGAGCAGAGAAGGTGCAGCAGGCATCGGCTCGCAACAATACAAGACCTGATTTGCACTTTGGATGTTTTTCAACTGCGAGAATAGTTTGAGCTTGGGAATCAATTTGGGCTGGTACAATAGCACCAAAGATGGCAAGGGTCCAGTAGCCGTGACGGAAGCGCAGTCCGCATATCTCTGCGTGTGGAATGTTGGCGCCTTGTTCACGCCGTTTCCATTTGGCTTTGGCAGACTTCGATTCTCAACAAGCACCTTCAGGAGCTGATGGACGGTCTGACGGCCAAAGTTTTCCGTACATACAACGCGTCGATCACCTTGCAACAGCAGCTCAAAGAGCTGACAAACGGTACGCTGTCTCGGCTGGGGGAGGGGGGGGGATCCGAACCAGATGAATGACAAAAACGTTCTTGTGTTCATCCTTTCCCTAATTGATGAGTGTCTACTTTGTCCCTGTCAAATCAACGTGGTTTCGTCTGTTAGTGGATGAGAACGTTCCAGCCAAGATCCTGTCCTACAACAGGGCCAACAGAGCCGTGGCCATCCTGTGCAACCATCAGAGGGCTCCGCCCAAGACGTTTGAGAAATCCATGCAGAACCTGCAGACCAAGGTGAGCAGTGCGATCGGTCACGTTTACACGCGTATCGTACCGTGTCGCACTTCTAAGGAGTCTTATCGATGAGGTTGTCTGCATCATTTGAGGCGCTGAGATTTATGAATCGACAAGCCGTCGCTTGTTGCAAAGTTTAATCAGGGGAATTTTTCCAAGTGCATTGTAACCTTGATTTAATGGGCTACTTGTGGGAAGGGCTTGTCCGTTGCATCAAAGCAATTTTTTGTGGCCTTAAAGATCATGTTGTAGCTTTATTTATTCTATTATTTTGTAACCCCAAAAAATGCCTTGCACAAAATCAAAATATTAAAACAAAAACATGTGGTCACCTGGTTGCGTTCATGAGACACAATGTCAGTGCTGCTTTTTTTTTTTAACACCTCTTTTAGGATTGCATTCCATAGATAAGGTTTTTACCCTCCCCCCAAAATTCTATTGTACCAAAAATAGCATGTTCGAGAGAGAGGTGCTCATTTAGTGCCTGATTGGGGAGGGGAAAGCAGCCATCTAAATGAAGAGGCAGATATGACACGCTCCTTTGGCGCTACACGCTTAATGCCCGTGCGTCCCATTACCTTTAATGGAACAGTGGCTACCGCACTTTTTAGCCTGCTCTTGCCTACTGGATCTGAGACCAGAAGCAGGAAACGCAGGACAAGTTTGTGTTAGTTGATGGCACCGCAACGCCGATGATAGAGTTGTCCACTTTTTACTTATCTCAGATCGAAGCTAAAAGGGACCAGCTGTCGGACGCAAAAAGAGAGCTGAAGAGCGCCAAGGCTGATGCCAAAGTACGGAAGGATGAGAAATCCAAGAAGTGAGTGGACTTGAGATGTGCCGCACGTCGGGTTGTGTCAGCCTCATGTCATGACGAGCCCCGCCTGACCGCGCAGGGCCGTGGAGACCAAGAAGAAGGCCGTCCAGAGGATAGAAGAGCAGCTGATGAAGCTGGAAGTGCAGGCCACCGATCGTGAAGAAAACAAGCAAATTGCACTCGGCACTTCAAAGCTCAACTATCTCGACCCTCGCATCTCTGTGGCTTGGTCAGTAACTTTTTTTTTTTTTTAACAAAGCTTTCAATCATTGCGTGCCCCCAGCCTGCTAACTTTGGTTTCGCTTACCAGGTGTAAGAAGTGGGGCATTCCTGTTGAGAAAATCTACAACAAAACCCAGCGCGAGAAGTTCGCCTGGGCCATCGACATGGCAGACGAAGACTTTGAATTTTAAATTCCAGTTTTGAATTTTAAATTCCAGGTTGTGGTTTTAACTCTACTTTTTAATCGGATACTTGTTTTTACTATACAGTAATGATTTTTTTTTCCTTGATGGACTGACCCAAGATAGTTTTGGCAGGAAAAAGAGAAAAGGCCACATTCGAGTGGTATTTGAAACATCTGATCTGCGATCAGGCATCAAGCTGAACTGAGCATCAAGGCACAGTGCCGGGATTAAGATGCCCCACCGCCACCTTTTTCTTCCCTGTGACGATGCCTGAACTTTGAACTCTGTGGTCCTATTGCTTGTGTAATGAGCAAAAAAAAAAAAAAAAATCAAAATGCTTTGTATTATTGTATCATTATTCACTGTTTTTATTTTAGCCCCTTCATGTATTATGAATGCATCTATATTTTGATAAAAGTCAAATGAATTCCTTAATACCACCCACAGGCCTTTTGAGGACAAGGACAATTGTGAGCTTGGTGTGTGTGCGGGTGTGTGTGTGTGTGCGTACGTGTACTAGGGGCCCTCACCGTAAAAGCTGTCTGTTTAGGGTGATTATTTTAAACTGGACTTTTAAAAATGGTGTTTAGCATGCGGATGTGTGGGAAGTGGGCAAGCTTTTGGGGGGTGGAGGAACACTGCAACCATGTTAACATTTACTTAAGCAAGCAGAATGTGAATATATGTTTTACAGCCTTTCAATCAGGGACTTTTGTTTTTCCTCTCCTTTCAGTGTAAATGTGAATCAATCATTTTGATCGTGTCACTTGCGAGCCCCCATCCCCTGAAGCTGCTACTCGGGGCCCCCCAAAGTCGACATCTGGGTTGAGCTTAATTTGTTTGAAGAAAAAAGAATCCCCCTGTTACTTGAACTCGGTGTATTTAAGTCTGTAAAAGGAAACTTGTTTCTCGTTGGAGAAAAGTGTGTGAGGGATATCAACTTTGCCAAAAATAATCACCAATCTGTTACGATTTTAGGTAGTTGTGTAAAGAATGAGGTTGAAACAATGTAACATTTTAATGTGAATTCATTTTATTCCACTCAAGATAGGAAAGTTGATGTAAGTAGTTGTAAAGTCAACATCCTATTCCTGTTTGACCTTTTTGTCCTAGCATTTGATCATGTTAAGTTGTATGCTCATTGTAGGTTCAGAATATAAATAAAAAACCCCACACATCAAAACATCTTTTCTGCCTCGCGTATTGTGTCTCCACGTTCCGGATGCCTCTTCGGTCCTTTAGGCTGCTTAGAATTGTCGACCGGTGCTACTCGACCTGTCTGAAAAAAAAAATCAATTTTTACAAAAAAACAATTAAGCTTGTATTCTTGTTGGTTCCAGTTCCAGGACTGATTTAAATCCAAGCAGGATTTGGCATCACTGCATTTCTTCTCATAATCGCAAAATAGCCACAACAGTATTTACTCTGATGACAGAGTCATTGTCTACCAAATACATATTTGAGGCCAATCACAACTCCCATCTTGCCTTTTAGCAAAAAGAGGATAAAAACAATAAGTGGAACCGAGCCGAGTTACCAAATTCTCTGCCAGTTTTGAAATATTCTCAGCGGTTCGCCAGCAGGTGGCGCGCCAATCAATGCGGAAACATTACAAAAGTATCCCACAGCTTTGTTTTCTGGCGTCATTCTCACTCCCGCTGCACGGAGGCCTTTCGAACAAGCAACACGACACTGCTGATTGGTGAGTATTCGGTTTATTCTGTAAAGATTCAGAGAAAGTGTAGAAAGGATGATACAACAGTGCTTTATGATCAAGCTATTTCATAAAAGTTTTTTTTTTTGTAAGCGATCATTACACCGTAAGTCCAGATTCCATTTATCTCAAACCAAAATATTTTTTTTTAACATTCGACAGAAGTGCATACACTGCTGGTAGGAGATGAAACTCCAATTTCACTTTGGATGGTATAGCACCGTTCTGAGCTATTAGCAGCTTGACAAGAATGCAGCTTAGGATATCCATGTAGTGACTGTATGTTTCAGGAAACAAGAAAATTCAGGAGAATTTCTCCCCACTTGGCTCTGTAGCTAGCTCGAGATCTCACTCTGTCAGTGTCAAAGGATCCAATCGGTAATTTAGCTTTCAGCATTTGGCCAGTCACAATGTTCGATACAATATTACAGTTACAGCTCATATTAAAACATTTCCGAAGTGCACATAAAGCAGCACACGAGGTTTTTTTTTTTTCGTTTTTTTTTTCACAGATAGAGAGCAACAGCGATCCTTGATGCACTGCTCCCCGGCCCCCTCTTTAACTTTACAGAAAGCGCGGTAGCTGGAAAGCGAGTTGACGGACAAACATTCCATTAACACACGGACAGAGCTGAGTAAGGCAACGTTAGCGTGACAGGCTTGTCTCTCTTCAGCTTGCAGGGCTTTGTAGGTCATTGATCGGGACAAAGCTGTCAATACCTTTGCAGTGGGGCAGTGGGATTTTGAGCATTGCTGTCTTCATTAGTGCATTGTTATAGTCTCTTGCGTGTAGCTGAACCACAAAGTGATCACAAACATCGATACAGGTCTAAATAAAACATGTTTGATTGCATCTGGACTTACAGTGACTAGAAAAGTAAATAGAACTGGAAAGAAAAGCAAAAAAAGTAAAAGTCAAGGCAGTGCTGAAGTACTGGTTGCTAAAAAAAAAAAGTAAAAAATATCACAAAAGCCAACAATAACGTTTCTTTGACACATCGTTTGTCCGTTCAGTCAGTACGACCCCTCTTTTATAGTGCAGTTTCGATCATATGCTGTATCGAGATTTCTCGCGCTGACCCCCAAAAGATGATTTCCCGGCCTCGGCCCATCCGCGTTTTGTTCATTCAAGTCAGTTTCCCAGTCATTGTGCGTCTTCTGGTTCTTTCCTTTGAGCCCTCATACTCTCCTCGTTGTGCACCCTCCCCACACGACCACAAAGAAGCATGAAAGGCTGAAACGTCACAGGACTGAAGAAGGTGAGAAGTTCTTGCTTCTGACACGGGAGGAAGTGATGGCAGATGGAAGAGGGAGAGGGAGAGGAGAGGGGGCGGGGGTGGGGGGGGGGTATTCACAGTTACAGTCAGAGTCTCACGGTCCAGCTACAATCACATTTGCTGTCATGACAAACACTCGTTTTGGGAGCAAACCGGCCCTGTGCGCCTGTTCCCAGCGACTTCATCACACCTCCAGCAGCTCCATCCTCGGGCCATCCCTAAACATGCGCAAGCAAACACAAACAGGTGAGGATCTGATCCCGGGGTGATGAGACTGTATGGCGGGAGCGGACCACCCACTGTCATGTATGATTGGCATGCGCTCTCAAATCCATAATTCAATGGGCCAGACTCCCATTTCACCGAAAAATACTTTTTTTTTTTTTTTTTTTAAACACAGAGCCTTGTGGCATGACCCGAACGTCTGTCTACATCCACGCGCCTCATAGACAAGCTGGTAGGCTGTCACCACTTCTCCCGCTGTGTTATTTTAGTGACGTGTGGTAGGGTTGGTTGATGACAGACCCAAAAAAATCCCAATCGCAATTATTTGGATCCATTTGAAAATCGCCGTGAATACTTTAAACACTACCATTATAGCCTCACGTCCATGAACACCTGCATGTTGAATACTATTCTTTTTGTCAAGTACTAAATGACCTCTTAATTCAACTTCCAGCCTCTTGCATTTTCATTCTGCTCATTTCATCCTCACTTTTGCCGCATTGCATCTTTGCCCACATTCAAAATGCATGATTAAACATCTCTTATTTTGTTACTTTGTTTTTCTTTGTTTTTTTTTTTTTTTGCTCTTGAGACTCACTGGGCTAGCCTGCTACCGCGGCTATCGTAGATCTTGCCATATCACATTGGAAATGTACACCAACAAAAATTACACGAATCTTCGAAAACCCAGTTTATATATATATATATATAAAAAACACGCACGCACATGAACGCGCGTTCTTCGAAAGCAAGAAATACATCCACACTCGGCCAGCCTTACGCGCGGGCTTTCGGGCCGCCGATTGGAATTACCTGTTCTGGTTGGCATCATTGGGCTGTTGAAGAAGCGGCTGACCGGCAGTGAGCTGCTGGTGGTCTCTTTGCGGCGGCCAGGCGTCCTTGGCGGAGGTCTCGGCTTTGACGAGCTCGCCGCGTCCCTCGGTCGCCATCAGCGCGTGCAGCGGTGAGTTGAAGTCCTGCCACTGAAGCCGCTGGCGGTCAGTGTTTATTCGCCCTTCTCCCAGGAGGCCTTTGTTGCCGTCCCGCTGGACCTGTTTCTTTTGGCCCAGCGGCGGCGGCTCCTTCCGCAATTTGGCTTCGACGTCTGCCCCGCCGCCGGCTTCCTCTGCGTCCGCAGCCGGCCGCAGATAGCTCTCCAGCCACTTGAGCTGTCCGTTCTTGTGGCTGTAGCGGCTGTCGCTGAACCAGCGTACCACCTCGGACTTGGGCAGGCCCGTCTGGACGCTTAACTCCTCGTACTGCTGACTGTTGGGCCAGCGGGCGCTAGAGAAGGCCCGGCGCAGGATGCGCAGCTGCTGGGCGTTCTTGTTGGCCCACAGGGCCGGGAAGGACCCTTCGGCGAGCTCCGACTTGGGGTCCGGATGCGCAATCTCCGCTGCGCTCTCGCTTTCGTTCACTTTCAGACGCTTGAAGTTGACCTTGATGGGTTCCATTTTCTGCTCGGCGCCCTTCCCGTCTCCGGGAAAAAGGTCGTCGTCCTTGATGAGTTGTTGCAAGATGGACATGGTTTTTATGCTCAACTCCTTGCTGCGTTTGCTCTCGTCCGTGCCGGACGAGCCGCTTGTTGTGATGACGGTGGCGCTTTGAGTCGGGGAAGGGCCGGCGTGGTTCGGCTGGGGAGCAGCGTGTTCATTGGTAAGACCGCCGCCGTCGTCGCCCTGAACGCCGCGCCGCTCGTCCTTCCTCGACGTGTCGGCCTGATCTTGAGGACTGAGCGCGGCGCGGTCGTGATTGTTCTGATTTGCGTCGCTGGTGTTTTCTATGGCGCCGCGACCGCTGAAAGCTTCCGCCGCGGTCGGCGAACCGGTGCGCGTCTTGTCGGCGGGGGTCGCGGGATAGTGCACATCGTTATTGCTAATATTCGGAGCGCAGGCGGCAAAGCCGGGGAGGCCGTCGGCGGGGCCGCCGTTATTCCCGTTTCTCCGGGCAACGTTCTCGCCACCGCTGTTGTAGCTGGCGCCGCTGCTCGTGCTGCAAGCGCTGCCGCTGCGGCTGCCCCCGCCGCCGCCGCATGCGGCCGCCGCGTCCGCTCCGAGGCCGTTGCTGCTCTTCTCCGGCTCGGCGGCGGCTTGAATATTCTTGCTCGCCATGGGCGCCGTTCTGACGAGAGACGGAAGCTTCTGAGCGAAAAGCGGAGCGGAGTACGAGACCCTCGTCACGTGGGGACTCGTCGACACGGCGGCCTGCTTGGGAACGACCCCGCCGGGCCTGGTTCTCACGCCGCCGTAGGGGACGTCGGCCGTGGGGAAGTTTGCTCCTCTGGAAGCCGTCACGGTGCGGTGAGTCACAATGTGATTGACGTGACGCTGCGCGGCAGGTTGCTTTTGGGGCGCTCCGCCTTGGAACACGGTGTTGAACATCTTCCTCCTGGCTTCTTCTATTTCCTCGGGGGACCAGCTTATGCCCTGCTTGAGTCTTTGGGCGGTAAACCACAGTTTGATCTGCTCTTCGGGGAACTCCGACACCACCGTCAGGTAGCAGAGCTCGGCTTTGGTCGGGTAGGGGAACTTGCCAAAGGATGTCTTGAGAAAGCTGCTGGTGTCCATGGCGGCATCGTAGGTGGGGATGCTGCTAAGAGGGATCATCACCTTGGGAAGGTCTTTGCTGGACTCGGACGAAGGAGGCGGGGAGTACAGGGAGGGAGTGTGCTGCTGGTGAAAGACTTGGTTGGACGCCGTCGCGGGCGCCGCGGGCGCCACGTGACTCACGGCCGTCCTCGGCATAGCTTGGGCGCCGGAAACGCCGAGGGCCCCGTTCTGGAGCTCAGGCACATTCGTCAGCGGGCCGGGGTCGGCCGCTTTCCCGCCGTCTTTCTTCAATAGCTCCACGGTGTGGGACACCACAATCTTTTTGTGCTCTCCCTTGGCTCTCATCATCTTGGCAATGGGGGTCTTGCTCAGGGAGATTCCGGACTCCCGGCCGCGGTCCCCGTTGTCGGCGAAGAGGCTTTGCTCCACCGTCGTGACGCCGTCCCGCTTGCCGACGCTCAGGGAGGCGGTCATCGAGCCCTCCGTGATCTTGACGTGAGCGTTGGCGTTGTGCAGGGCCAGCGCCTCGAAGCGAACCACCGAGACGCCGCAGTTCAGGCAGTAGAAAGTCGGCTGGGCCCGGAAGTCCGAGTGGCAGTTGTGCATGTGGTCCAAAAAGTAGTTTAAATCACGGGACTCGAAAGAGCACGGCGGGCAAGCGTACGCGCCTCCTTTCTGCACCTCGCTGCCGCCCTCGTATTGGGAGGAGTTGCGAGAGGCCCGGCCCGACTCTTCTCCCGAGATGCTGAGTATGCCGTCTTCCGGGATCGTGGGCAGGAGTTCTGGCAGCGAGCCCAGGATAATTTCCTCGCGCGCATGTTTGGATTTGGATGGTATCATGCAGGGCACGGTGGATTTCCTCTTGCTGGCCATTGCGTCGCTTTGCCGAGATGGGAACGCGAGTGATTGATTGTCCGGTCGGATGAGAGCGGAGGGCGAGTGGAGTTTGGTGTCATGGATCAGCCACAGAGTTGCTTCATGCCTTCGGCGGCCGGGGGAGCCTCGTCCAACTTGAAACGCTCCCGGGGAACCTGGCGGGAAACAAAAACACCGCAAATGAGAAGAAAAGTCAAAGCAAAATAAAAACCGGTGAACGAGTGGTGGGCGACCACCCCGAAGGATGCCAGGCGCCGTGCGCACAAAAGTTCCACGTGAGGGCAGCGCACAAGTGGAGGTGGTGATACGGTGTGACGCCGTAGGCGGTGTTGCGCCGCAGTCGCGGCGCTTATTTCTTTTCTTCAAACTCAAATCTATAAGCGGTATCTGGTATTTTATACCCCCAGGTTGAAAAGCTATTGATAGCATCAAAGCACTCATAGACGATTCGAAATAGCCTTGTCTTAAAAAAACAAAACAAAAAAAAATCGTTTTTGAAACGCAAATGACTATACAAAGACAATGGCAATGAAACACGAAGGTGTCTGAGAGCAACACACACGCACACACACACACAGCTGTCAAGTATTTTCTCCCTTTCGATGTTCCGAATACCGTCTTGCTGTCACTTTTCATCAAGTCACTAAGAGAGCGTGCCAATCAAGCCGGCCGTCAATGGCAACGTCTCACGGTTGCCATATTTGTCCTTTTCCTTCACCGTTGCCTTCGGATGAACTCGAAGCTAATTGTTCATGGCATGCGTCTGCGCCATTATTTTTAGCGGCGCTTCATGATGCGCACAAAGAAAAGAGTCATTCAAGTGGAGGCTCGCGCGCCGACGACAGCCGGGCTCCACGGCGACGAATGTGATTGGCGGGCTTTGAATGTGACCGGGGGAGATCTGTTGCCAGACGCCACCTGGCTCCCCCAAGGAAGGAGGTAGTCTCAGCGTAGCCGCACGCTTCCTCGGGGATTTTCAACCTGTTGACCAGGACGTCCTTTTCCCCACTCCCTCGTGGACGGTAGCGCGTTGCGCGTCCCACCGTTCCAGCTCGTTCACTTTCTCTGCAAGCCAAAATATTCCGAAATGGGCACGCCGCTTCTTGTCGAGAGAAGTGACGGCTCATTTTTTTTTTTTTAGAAGGATGTTGGCACTGAAAAATACATCCCGGGAATCTCCCAACCTGTATACACACACGAGCGCGCGCACACACACACACACACACACACACACACACACACACACACACACACACACACACACACACACACACACTTGAGAAGAACTCTGCCGGTTGGAGCTAGCGTGTTGCGCGTTTGCTGAAAAAAGCACGCAAAGCGCACACATCGGCGACTGCACAAATGCATTTGCAGAGCTCATCCGCCGTCTTGTAACGCTTTCAGTCAGGCGCGACAAATTTCTCTCCTTTCTCCCTTTGTATTAGGAGGAGGTGAAAAACGTGCCCCCTCGCCAAGTCATACAGATTCCAATGTGGGACACGATGGATAGTCTCCTGCTCAGTGACACATCGGCGACGCGGCCGGTTTTAATCGCTGCGTCGGGACGGAAAGTCAAAGGCACGGAAAGAAGAGAAAAAGTCAAGTCAAGTCCTCACCCTCTGCCCCCTGACTGAACTTGTGACACACACTCAACCTCCGCTCATATTTCTCTTGTCTTCTTTTTGTGGGACTGGAGATTTGATGACGTGCGGAGCGGCCGGGAGAGCCAGTGGCTCTCCCTCGCTCGCTTGAACCTCGTCTCGTAAGTTGATCATGCTGAGAGAAACATCAACCGCGCAAAATCAACATTCATACAACAAATTGCTAAGACCCAGTTTGGCGAACACTTGGTATCGTATTATATTGTTGCATTTTTTTTTCCCCACACCCCCCGCCCCCTCCCGTCTTATCCATTACGTGGCATTTGGAAACAGCTGAAAAGGCCTTTCGCAGACTTTGATTTGACAGAAGCCACCCTGGTGGCTGGTAAATAAAAAATGAACCTGTTCCGGAATTAAAACTCACAAATGAGCGCCCGACCGCACTCAGTGACCCCCGGATAGCGACAAGCCCCTTGTGACTACTTTTTGACATTTTGGATTTTATTTTATGACAGACAGCTGCTGCTGCTTTCGCATGGGACTTTAACAAAAAAATAAAAAAGAACAAAACAAAACGGTTAAAAAAAAAAAATCTAGGTCACCAGCATTTTATGCAGTAATCCTGGTTGACTGCATCCAGACGCAGGCGCGCGCTGTACGTTTCAGCGCCAGACGGGTCATGCTATCCTCGGATGGAACACTCAATTAACCCCTGCTAAGGACGCCGTGTTTGTTCGCGGAACAAAAGATTTACGAGTGCGTTCACACGTGCGCGTTTGAAACATCTGTATGAAAGCTGCGATGCCGCTTTCCGCGCGTTGAGACGAATCAACGTGGACTCCCGTTTACCGTGGCCGCACGCGTTCTTTTTGTCCAACGGATGACCGTCATTTGCAGCGACAAGGTCCTGGCTTCCGATCTCCCGTCTGTGTGGAGTTTCCATTTCTTTGAGATTTTCTCCGGGTAGAATAGCCTTACCCCCCCCCCCCTCCCCACGGCCACTTACTGATAGTGGCAAATGCGAATTGCCTGTTGCTGCGGATGTGAGTGGTTGTCAGTCTGCGCGTCGGGAGACAAAGCGTGATTGACTCGTAATCACCCCGAGGCCTTATTCCGTTTTTAACAGAAAACAGAACAACAATGCGTTGTTTTGAGAGTTGATTGAGAAGCCTGAAAACAATGCTCTCAAAGTGGACTATTTAATTTTTCTTTTTTTTTTGTTTTCATATACAACCCGCTTGCTATCTATTTCTGTCCAAGCGGCAAACACGGTCGTTTATACGGAACGAGGAGCCGTTTGGCTTGTTGCAACGTCTATTTCAAGGCACCGTCGTCGTCATCAGCTTAGAATTACACAAAGTGAAGCGTTTGCATGACAGTCGCAGACGCGTTTTCGGCCATTGGTGTGACCGTATGTTGTGGAGCTTTACAAATTGCCCCTTACAGATTCAATTGAAATCCGTTTAGTTCAAAAAACGTTTGCCGTAAAAGATGCGACCTCAGGTCATTTCTTGATTTTGCTCCTGGTGGAGGGCTTTTTGTGCGCCGTCATTTTCGGTGAGTGGATGGTGAAGGCCTTGGATATGGAGGAGCTGGGACCGCTGCGCTACCGTCTTTAAAGCAAACGGCGCCACGGCCATCAGTGCTTATTTTTCTGTCTTTTGGCCAGCTGAAATATGTTTTGCTTGCTTTTATATATTCACTATGACAGCATTATTCGATTACAATGACGTCTGGAGCTCTGTCACACTCTTTCTCCCACTGGCCAGAAGTTTGAGAAATACGAACCAGCCTTTGTAGTCCCCCCCCCACCCCCAAAACAAAAGCCATAAAACACCACTAGAGCAAATCCACGGAACGCACAGATAGATGAATGGCCGGAGAAGGTAATTTTGTAACAATACTGGAGTGTTACAAGAGCAGCTGCGTTAAAAGGGGACAAGAGTCGGCCAAAAGGCAGATGGGGTGGAGGACGGGGGCGCCCCCGCTGCCTGTAAATCCAGCTCAGGCCCTCGGTGACGGGCGCGACGGTTTGCGTAAAGAATCCAGTCACCTATCCAAAGAAGGGCCCACTTGATCTGCAGGAGCGCGACTCGGGACACAAAACCACAAGGGCTTTTTCCTCGAGACGGCGGCCCATTGAAGGTTGCCCATGAAAAGGCAGGATTTGTGTTTCGGCGGCAAGGTGGACAAAGCGGAGAGCAGCTCTGTCCCCGCAGCGGTTCACAAACTCTCTCCGGTGCACCCACGGTCGCAAATAAAAAAATAAAAGCACCGCTGCCTTGTTGCTAACCTGTTGCTCAACTGAACTGCACAACAAGCGTTACCTACCAAATGGAAATTGGTCTCCATTCTGGTGTGTGTGTGTGTGTGTGTGTGTGTTTTAATGTGTTAACGTGATTTCAGAGCAGCATTACAGTTTGAAAGGAGGGCCGTCTTTGGCACGGTCATTTCCGTCACGGTATTATAGTCACGTGTCATTTAACGTATGCTTGCAATCGCCACTTTTTCTACGGCCGAGCGCTTCTACCTCCGCGAGCGGCACCGGCGTCCTTTCGCTCCTTTCATCACTTCATAAACGGCGGCAGCCATTAGAATATTACAGCGCGAAAAAAATCGCCAGCGTGCTGCCACCGGAAAGAGAGGCGAGGCTGCACAGTGGTTTGCCAGACATTAAAATTTAATTCAAAACAGCCCACTGATGCAGACACTCCCAGATTGTTGGGTCAGCTACAGTTGACGTGAACAAACACATATTTGTGTTTTTTGCACCGCGCCGCCTGTCACATGAAGGCGAGCGTGGAGGCAGGAGGGAAAAGAAGCAGGACAAAAGGGAAGACAAAACTCAGACGTCTGGGAGGGAAGCGAGAGGATGACTGATGACGATGACAGCCGGCGCTATTTCAATATTCCTCCCTGCTGACACCTCCGAGTTGGGCGTCTACACACACACACACACACACACACACACACACACACACCTCAGCAACATTTAGCGCCTGTGACGCTCTCAAATCTTTCTCTTTGAACCAAAGAACTGGCAAGGAGTCTCTTGATGCGACGGTTGCCGAAGAGTTTGCTACAAAAGGAAAAAGGAGGAAAAAAACAACAACAACAAAAAAACATTTGTTTTGTGGTTCATTCGCCCTGACAGTGATCCACGCCTGAATTTTTATTTATTTTTTTTAATTGGTCAATAAATGGGGCAAAATGGGAGGAGCCTTGACAGATCCATTTGAAAGATTTGAAAATGTGTCCAGAGGGAACATTTGCTGCCTGGTGCCCAATACAGACTTGGATGTCATGTGAGGGGATCAGCTGGACACCTAAATATAAGCTGGAGATAAGGCAGAGACAGAATCTCACTGTCTTGCAAAAAGACTGGGAACAATGGTGGCTCACTTACGAGGCAAACGTGATCTGCCGCTTTGGGCTTTTCTCACTGTGGACATGGAAAGGTTGCGTTTGTCGCCCCTGTCCATCGTCACGCACGCTGGCAATAGCGTGATTTCTTCCGCGGGAGCCGAGTGGACAGGTCTCACATCGTGCGTGTGTGTGTGTGTGTGTGTGTGCGCCACTGTACGCCGCGGCAGCATGACTAAGTGTGTGGCTGGAGTGATACGTGTGCTGAAACACAAGTGGGAGATGTCGGGGTGATTAGCACAGCGCTAATAGAGCGCCGTCCACGCGGGCTGTCCGGCTCGAGACGAAATGTGACCTCCAAGCGTCTTCGTCTCGTCGGCGCCCTCTTTTTGGGATGGCGACGTACGATGTATTTGTGTTCGTTTGTGTCTGAACGTCTGCGACGCAGGTGTTGTCAGCCATCTCGCCTTCTCCTTCCTCCCTTTTCTCTCTCTAACACACACAGACCCCCCCCCCCCACACTCCTCACCACCCTCTTACCTCCATAACTGTAGCCCCGTCCACTGGGAGTCCGGTCGGTCTTGCCACTCATGTGTTAACATTGCCATAGCAACCCTTCTCCTCCCCTTGCCCACTATGCCACACACACACACACGCTCGCTGCCGAGACGCTCGCACACGCCCACCAACCTCAAGTCTCATACACAGTGAATTCCTCGGACTGCATCTGGCGCAGGACAAACTTTAATCCACACGGGCCTGCAAGCCACTTGGTTGAAAAGTCCATTCACCCTTCACGTCCCTTTCAGACAACTTTGGGTGAGGTCTGAGCCATTTTCTTCCTCGGCAACCCAAAGCCGCCTCTCCGCTCCTCAAACGGTTGACGGGCGGGCTCCGTTAAGGAAATAGCACGAGTGAGCAGGCTGCAAATGACCTCCCGTCACCATGTTTCTCAATCAGACGCGGCTGTGACATACTTAGTGTCTCCTCGCACGCGGTTGCTGTTCTGTGTTAGGGCGCAGCTCGCTGCGGAAAGCGTACATTGTTTTACAGAGCCTTCTATCTGCGGCCCAGATGAAGGACGGACAAATAAACCATGGCTCGCCGAGGAGAAAAAAAAAAAAATCTGAGTCACGCATCCTTTTGCATCACTTTTCATGAATAACTTCTTCAGTTCTGTAGCCAAGACTACAGGCATTCATTTGGCAACTTCAGAAGAAAAGGAAGAAAGATGGCGGCGTCCCGCACATTGTCCTGTCCGTTCTAAAATGGCTGACATCACAGCCTCCACGAAGCCTGGCAACTGCCAGGTCCTGTATGGGACAGAGAAAGTGGCAGGGGTTCTTTGGCCACTCATCAACCCCCCCCGCCCAAGAGAGCACAAATGTTTCTTTTGCGTGGAACTGTGCAAACATGCTGTTTTAGTGAGGCTGTGAAGATTCGATAGAGCTAAGAGCGATGACAAAAGCGGCACTAAATAAAAGCTGAAAGCCCTGACTAAATTGCACCTGCATATGACGCCGGCGCTCTCTGACGAAATAACCAAACCCTGCATTGTGGCTCCGAGCATTTACTGCGAGCCTCGTGAGGTATGCTGCTTGCATGAAAAACAGCAGCAAGTTTGATTGGTTTGGCATTAAGACAGTCGATTCTCTTCTTAGAACTTGAGGAATGTCGAACACTCCAAGTCAGCTAAATCTGCAAACCATGACCAGATGACCTTCCTTGGTATTCTCAGGCAGTGTTTTTATTTACATATATATATATATGTGTGTGTGTGTGTATATACGCACACATATATACACACACACACACACACACACTAATAGCTAGCTAGCTAGATAAACAGCTAGCTAGCTAACTTTATGCACGCGCACACACACACACACACACAAATAGCTAGCTAGCTAGCTAGACAGCTTGCTTGCTAACTAGCTAGAGAAACGAATTGGAACTGATGACAAGTAGTTAAGAAATTCGCTTATTTTGCTGCATGAAAGAGATATATTTCTTTCAATAGATAATAAATATGTCATTTCTTTAGGTAAATGTTAAATATGGCAATAATATCAAGATCCCATTCAACACCCATATGATCACAAAGGTGCTCGACCAGTGGCCACCCGGCCAACGAGCTTCGAACTACAAACAGGCCCTCGTAGCGGCAGGTACGGGCAGCTGTGAGAAGCGTGGCGAGCCAAAGTAAAAAAAAAAAAAAAGAAAAAAGACGGGGGCATGATGGAAGGGTACACGCATTCCTCCCTCAGGACTACATCTCAATAAGTATGAATATCGTGGAAAATGTATTTTAGAGGCTCAATTAAAAATAAATTTGGCTCAAATTTATTTGACTACACACAAAGGGAAATATTTTGTGATTTTTATCATTTCGAGCTCGCAGTAAATGAAAACTCCCCCAAAACGCTCTCTCAAAAAATGTCAATGCGGAGAAAATAGCAAGTCCCCATCAATAATAAAGCAAGAGAATGTACACAGGAAGGGGAGCTGCATTCGGCCTCGACGTGAAGCGTCTCACCTCCGAGGTAAACACAGTTGGCCGCCTCAGCGTTTGCCACTTGGTCTGTCATTCGTCACAAATAATATTTTTACAGGTGACTTTATTTGGTTGAAAATTGCTTTCTCTTATTTTACACTTGTATGCCACTTAAGAACGTGCCTTAAATCACTACTTGGAAAGCTACGGCTCGTTCTAGCGGATCAGTGGAACTGATATTTAGCACAATGGCGTACTGAAGTCATTTGCAGATTGAGGGACAAAAGCGGACCCGAGCGCAGTCCTATTTCTGACTGGATGAAAGGGAGACCGGCTGGCCTCATTAGAAGAGAGCTCCGAAACATGGGAGCCCGTTCCCAGCCTGCATCCGGCTGGAGCGAAAACCTCCACGCACACACAGCTCACCGGGCCAAGAGCTCGTTCGCTGCGTCTTACTGGTCAAGCGTACACGCACGCCCACAAATCAAGTAGGAAGCATTCCCAGCAGAGAGTGGACTACCGTACTCGCTCTGGAACGGCCCCTGTGGAAAACCGCAGTCCTTTCCTTGACCTACATTATATGTAACGCCCTCACATGGTGAAATAATTAAAGCCCATTCCCAAAATTTGCCAGTGAATCACGGCTGGCGAACTGGCCGGGCTGCCACGATTCATCTGGCCTCATGTTTCTTGGAAGCCACATTGCAGCCCGTAGTGGCAACAAACAGTCAGTGAGGAGAGCTTCCTCCCCGAGAGGCAGAGGGAGATGTGCTCATTCCGTCCCTACTCCCGTTGTACTACATAGTTGACGAAAAAGTCCCACGAAAAATCTTTATCTCGCCATGGGGGAGTGGGGAATTAAGAACGATTCCAAACGCAGTCGCTGCTTTTGGAATCATTCACTTGGAGGCCTTTTTTATTTTGCGGATCGCATCGGTAACTCATCGGGCGCAGCTATTGTCGCATAATTACAACATACCGGATCCATTTCAGCTGGTCGACCTTCCGTAATGAATCTTGGATACATTAATAAATTACAATAACGTATTGTTCTAGGATTCGTATAGTTTACAAATTAACGGAAACAACTCACATTTGGGCCCTATTTCCGTGCCCAGGGGAAGTCTAGTGCAAGGTGCGCATGGCTGGGGATGTCTTTCTTTTGGCATTTTTGTAGAGTGGCGCATTTAGAAATGGGCATATGCGCCGTTGAGGGAATGAACAGAGCTGACTTAATTCCCAGCTAATCAAAGCGGCTCCCCATGTTGGCCGCTTCGATTGGCTGGTCTTCAACCCCTGATCATGCAAGTGACAAACCACACACACACACACACACACACACACACACACCAGGTGTGCCGTGGTATGATGTTGCTTTCAAAAATATATAAAACATAATAATAATATTATGCATTCAGTGAATTAATTTCTTCAATGATTCAGAGGCTTCAATGCACGCTAATGTCAGATTTATGAATTAAATACAATGACTTCTACCACTCATGATTGGCACGCAGAATCTGTCTGCGCTCTGATCAAATCCACCAAGCTCACGTTACTCCAGCTGTGCCACAACTTAGACCTGGTCGAGTCCACTTTCTGTCACAAAAATTGTCAGGCGCACTGGGGGTGTGTAATAGATAACAGCTTCTCTCCGCCGGAGCGCCCAGCGAGGCGCAAAGCGGTCTCCCAAATTCCAAAAAAATGGGAAAGTAAAATTTTCCCTGGGCACAAAACTGAAGAGGTGCCACTTTTTATTTTAATCTATGGAAAAAATCCCTGTTGAGTTGCTAGACTTCAATTTTTAAATATTTTTGCACCAATCTCATGAATTTGTCTCATGTGTAAAATGAAATACCCCCAAACAGAAAGTCCTGTCTCTGTATTGGTGCAGTGCATCATGGGATACATTTTCGAGTGACGATAGTTGCTCACTACTTTTCACGATGCCCTATATCGTGGACACAGGATAGGGATCGATTCCTGACACAGTCGCATGCTTCCTAAAGCTGGCTCCATACTCTCAGAAAAATGTTACTCGTCGGAAGTGATACATTCAATAGCCCACTGGCAATAATCCACACTCTGGAACAACACGTAGAAATGAGCAAGCCTTGTGTAATTGTAGTGGTGTGTGTGTGTGTGTGTGTGTGTGTGTGCGCGCGCGCGCGCGCGCGAGTGAGTGGGTGTGTGAGGAGGGCAAAAGCACATGTTGGTGGGAGGAAGAGAAGGAAATGAAAGAAAGAGTCCTGTGCATTTGGGCCTACCAGAGCAGGACATGCAAAAAGGGGAGGATTTGTGACACTTGTGCGTGCGCGTGTGCGATTCGGCCGTCTTATGTTCGAGCTCGCACGGCTGAGCGCGCGCGTGCGTACCGTATAGCTCGCGTTGTCGGGTTGACAAGTCTCTCCCAAACTCGAAGCGCTTCGGAGAGGAAGCGGCGTGTTGTGCAATGAAAAAAGAAATAAATTAAATAACACTAAGCAGATCCGCCACATTGGAGGCTATAGCAAGCGAGCGGGAGCGCACACGCGGAGGGGCTCGGCGGGCTCCAAGTGTGACAAAGTGACGCGTAAAGCCATTTCAAGTCCATTCACAAGGCTCGGGAAGCCTCACGCGACCTCCCGAGACACTTGCCAACGCTCAGCTGGCACTCTCTATCAAGCTTCGGAAGAGTCAAGCCCTCTCCACGAGAAAAAAAAATAGCCAAAAAAATCCTCCACCCCCCTCCACCTAGTGTCGCCATTTTATACATAGGCGACTTGATATAAACTACAGCAGCGGATCAACATCCACAATTCGAGAGCGAGACGTCATTTCGGTAAACAAGTTGGTAGCTCGCCGCGCTCCGCCTCGCAAACGGTCGATGTGTCCTTACCTCAAGAGTCGGCGCGGCAAAATGGAATCCGACATGAATATAGAAATGAATAATATTGGATTAGCTCCGATCGCCGCGCTTTGAGGAGGAGAAGAGGCGAGCGAGCAGGGGGTGGGGGCTCTCCTCAAGTGAACCCGGCGAACTGGCGTGAACCCGTCAGTGACCACGGCAAGGTACATTACATGACAGGAGCTGCCCGGCCCGCTGCAAAAACAACTATGGTCGGCGATGCGGGACGAGGCAGCTCCCCAAAAAAATATAGCCAGTGGATTTCCTACGAGCACGTGATTGGGAGCGTCATCCAAAATCCAGAAGCCCTTTCATCTCAAATTTTGGAGAGGGGCGGGGACAGATGAGCGAGCGTGTGTAACACACGGCGAAAGAAGAAGAAGAAGAAGAGGAGGAGGGATGTATAGATCGCTTCTGTGCAACGTCACCACCCCCGAGGCACACGTGAAAGGAGGCACCGGTACACTTGAAGGCAGAACCTGCAACCGAGATGAATGAAAACGGACCCAATATCCCAGGAAGGTTTTTTTTTTTTTTTGGTTTTTGTTTTTTCCCCCCCTCCCCAACAATGGGATATTATTATGGACTCAGGGCCAGTGTTGCAAAGTCTGCAAGTTGCCCAATACATGTAAAAAACTGTGCGGCGACACGCTCCAGCACATGGCCTCCGAATCCAGAATAATATGGATCTGAGGCTCAAACTTCTTTTATACCGTATTCCAAAACAAATATCTGTTGCCTGGAGACTTGGACATCTCAAATCCATACATGGACTGGAATCCTGTTGGGTTCGTACTTTCTTGGATTCTTCTATTTATATTTGTGCGGATTGGACCGAAGGTCCGAAGTTCACAGCAATGTAATTCCGCGTCAAAACGTCAGGGACTAAAGCATGTAATGGCATGTGACAGCATTGCTATTTCTCAACGGATTCAAACACAATTAAAGAACAAAATGTGCTTCTAATGCGGGTGGATGATTTATTACTTTTGTAAGCCCAAACACTCCCTGTTTACAAAATATTGGCTTGTTTTTCTGCAATGCTGTTGAATTTACTGGAAGACAAAAGGGCAATACAGCGGGCCTAGTCCTGAGCATGTCTGCCTCACAATCAAAATGTCCCGGGTTCGAATGTCAGCTTAAGCCGTCCTGTGTGGGGTATGGATTTGTCCTCCGCATTCCGAGGACATGAATGTTTTAATTGACAATTATAACGAGCCATTAGCTGGGATTGGTTCTGCGTATTTGCCTTGCAATTGGATGCTAACCATTTCGGCATGCACCCAAATCAGCGGTTGACTCATCTCCTGGTCAACTACGACCCCAATGAGAGCAAGCGGAATAGAAAATGGAAGGGAGCCGACGGCATTTTGTGTTTGTTCTCTCAGCTGTTGCGTGTCTTCACCATTTGCCACGATAGCCTTTTCGATTCCTTTTCTACGTGGCAGGTCAGTTCAACAGTAGCATCTCTCATCATTGATGACTAGTTACATTGTAAATTCTATGATCAATAATTTAGAAGCGGGCGCCGTGGTCGAATCTCAGCCCGCGCCTTCCTGTGTGGAGTTTGAATGCTCTCCCCATGCCTGCATGGCTTTTCTCCGGAAGTTATTAAAATCGCAAATGAAATAATACACATGACATAAACATTGTCTTGAAAACATAAGGCACCGCACTGTGTGGGATGCACTCGGAATGTCATACTGCAGGAAGGTTTTCACCTATTATAAATTCATTTTGCCACAATAATAGTTTTCTTTGTCTGACCAGTTTGTCCAGGAATGAGTTCAGATGCTGCCTGTAGGTGGAATTCAGGAACAACAGGATTATCAATCCCTAAACCAGTGCATTGAAACAAAAATGTGGGTGCGGTGTGAGCGGTGAGCTACGGCAAGCTGCATTATATGGCAGCTACTTTCATCGGCAGGATCCTCAACTTCGCGTGCCGGAAATGAAGTTAGCAATGGAAAGATGTGATCACCGAATACATCCTAATTTAATGTGAATTAAAGAGCATGTGAAGGAATCCATTTTGGCGACCCCCAACCACTTCTTCCGTGTGTTTCTTTTGAAGAAAGACACTCATTTTACTCACTGCCTGAATTTGATTTAGCTTTGTGACCGACTGGCAACCAGTCCGAAAAGGGACGAAGCCAAAACTTCTTTAAATCCAGGTTAAAAAAAAATAGCTGTGATTAACGACTTTCAAAGTATTTTTCAAATCATGTGTTCAAAAATCTATGATGCTCTTTTAGCAATTTTAGTAAGCTAGTTTTTACTTCTTCACTTTGCTTTTAAATCTATTTAATTCTGTTTGTAACTGCTTTAAATGTGGTACTTTTAATTGCAGTATTAGTAGTACTGAGGCATGTTGTGGGTGAAATGCGCTATAAATCAATTATTCCATTTTTTTTTTTTTTACAACCTCTATGTACTGCCTAAGTACTGGTATACATGTAAACAATGAACGATGTCTATATATATGGCTTCCGCCATAATTTAATAAACTCAATGTATCACTCCGTTACACGCACACACACACACACACACACACTATATATATATATGTTTATTTCTCCAACATGCATCAAGCAAGTAAATCTGGAAGTAAAACGACTGTGGTCGATGTTTGCCCATCTTCACACCAGTGACTCCTCTAGATTTGGCTGTCCACTGTGAGCAGAGCTTATAGGTCGGCACAGGAAGCAAATACAGTAACACTGTGCTGTGTTAAAAAAACAAAACAAAAACAAAATAACACTTTAAATGATTTAAATTCATCTCCAAAGCTTAATGCTTTGACAGCCACAGTCTGAGTGCAAAATAAATACCCCAAAAGGCCATATAGTCATGTTTTTGCCATAAATGTACATAAAGCTGTGCTGTGAGGTTGTTTCAAAAGGTTCTGAATTATTATGATTATTATGAGTGAACTGTGCTATATACTGTCTAAGGAAGTGTTTTCCAGTCAAAGTCAGCAAGTCAGTAGAGTGGCCGCATGGATAGACAAGATGCATAATGCAAGATAAAAGGCTCGGGTGGAAAAAGCAGGCCCGTCATGAAACCTGGTATACTGTATGCTTTAAAAATGTAATCGTGTACGGATTGCAATCTCGATTCAATGATGACAGGCAGAACGCTGACGTAACAGCGGTGGGCAAGACTACAAGATAACAAAACCAATGTCAGCGTTGACACTAATCCAATCTAACAACGAACCCAAGTGTTTGGATAAATCAAACACGTCCAACTACAAGTTATAGTTAAAAGCGCGACCGATTTCAACAACGCAATGAATTTGGATTCGGTGATCGAAAAAAAAAATCAAACACGTCAGAGGGGGCGTGAAGCAACTGCAGCAAAGCAAAAGTCATGTTTACATCCAAATGAACCAATCACATTGTGTTTACATTAAAATGACAGCTGAGGCGGACCAATCGAGAGTCGCCATTCGCGTGCGAGAATTCCCCACCGACCAATAGCGAACCGGGCAAAGTGGAGCACAAGGAAACCACAAAATACAAAGTGTGTGTGCGTGTGTGAGCGCGCTTGTACCTGTAAGACGAAGAGTCTGCACACGCGGGACAGTTAAGCGCTCAGGTTAGAAAGGCAAAGAAGCAATGGCTCTGTCCCAGTGCCTGGACGACTCGCTCTTCAGGGTCAAGTCGACACTCCCCGGAGCCGTGCCGTGTAATCTGCAGGAGGTGTACAATGAGAGACACCGGCTCGCCTTGGAGGAGTTGCTGTCCGGGGGGGTCGACGACTTTCTGGGCTTTCTCAGGAAGGAGTCCATCGCCAACTTCCTGTCGGACGAGGAGATCCAGTGGATGCGGGGCGCCGCCGTGGCCCCGCGACGCGCGTCTGTGCTCGGCGAGCACCAGACGCTGCTGCCGGAGCAGCGGTCTCTCAGCAGCTCGATTGACTGTTTGTCGGTCACTTATTTCCCCGAAGTGTCGGACGTGGAACCGCCGCCGCTGGAGATCGGCTGGCCCGCCTTCACTGCGGGCTCTTACCGGGGAGTCACCAGGGCCGTGGCTCACTTCCAGCCGAGCTATGGCGACAACATCTACGCTTGCAAAGAAGCAGCAAGGAAAATGATCAGCAGTGCCAGAGAGGTACGCTGCAGCACCGTAGGCCCGCATCATTAATTGGGTCACTCTTGCATACCACCCCTATCACGACTTCCCGGCACTGTAGACGGCTATATTGTAGTCAATCAGAACAATTGGCCACTGTCTCATACACGCAGGCGTCAAAACGCCGGGCCACGATCCCACCCTGCTCTAGCTGTTTCTTTCCTCCAACGCACCTGACTCAAATGATCGGGATCGTTATCAGGCTCCTGCAGCGCTTGCTGCTGAGCGGATCATTTGAATAAGGTGTGTTGGATGAGGGACGCTTCTAAAACATGCAGCAGAGTGGCCCTCCAGCAAAAGGGTTTGCCGCCTATGATCAAAGTGGAAGTAACAAAGTACACAGACTGCGTTTTGATTTTTCCGGTATCCATACATTGCGCCAGTAATCGCTTTTCCTTAGTTTTTTTTTTTTTTTTTTTTTTTACTTCTACTCCTCACATTCAAAAACAGATGTCTTCACTTTCTACTCTGCACTTTGTCAAAATCATCTTGATATTTTTTCAGCCACTGCTGATGATGGCATTAAAAAACCCCAGATAAAGATAGATAAAGTCGTCTAACTTTCACGTCTCTTAAGGCGGATGAAAAGAGGGACAGCAGCGACGGGGAGGAACATGAACCAGAGCGCGTTGCTGACACTCTCCACATATTTGGAGAAGCAAGATATTCCCTTTCATGGCCTTATGTGAGCGTTTGATGGCATGATCTATCAGTGGGACAGGACAAAGAGGGAAAAAAAACTGTCTCAAGTTAATTTAATATTACAGTAATACCTTGGTTTTCGACCATAATCCATTCCAGAAGGCTGTTCGAAAAGCGATTTGTTCGAAATCCAAAATTATTTTATTAGCCCATCATTAGGTGCTAATACACTCTGCAGAAATAACATAAAAACAGTCAGATTTGCGTAAATCACTCAACTCAACTCGTGTATTTATAGAGCACTTTCAAACAGCCATCGCTACATACAAAGTGCTGTACATGGAGCAATTAACATACACACAACAATAAAGCCACAAATCAGTAACAAGCACGTCTGCTCACAATGTACGCTACATGAGGAAGCCGAGAGGAGTCCAGTGGCGTATTCGGGTTCCAAACATTCCAGCATCTGTCGTTGTTTTTACTTTTACTTAAGTGCAGGAGTTGAATCAATATTTTGACTTTTATTTTTGAACACATGTATCTTTGGTTCGACTGAAGTACAGGTTGTGAGTATTTTTGCCGCCTCTGTTTGTTCGATCCTTCGAGGGGATGAATGATTTTGTCTGACCGGTAGGTAGACCAGCACCTCATAGATACGTTTCCTTTCCCAAGGATAAAAGCACTAAAACAAAAATGTCATCCTGAAATCCTGCAGGATCGTCCCCATGGAATTGAGTTTGATCTGCCTGTTTTCTTTTGTCTGGCTTTTTAATGAGATGACACGTACAAAAGAAAGAACAACCAAAAGTAAAAGCCGAATGAATATTCATTGCGGTGTCATGTGCCTTGCTTGAGCTGTCAGCCCTGTCTGCTGTTGAAAGGAGGAGTTGTCGTGTGGCTTCAGCAGGACCTCGGGCCTTTGCAAACACTGCAGCAGATGTGTCTCAACTCGCTTTTGCTAACTTTGGTTGCTCATCTATCAAAGAGCAGCACTTTTCTCGGTGGAGCCAAACGATGGCTCTCTCTCTCTTTTTTTTTTGGTTTTGTTTTGGTGGAAACAAGCAACCAAATCAATCTGGAAATGCGACATGATGATCGTGGCCTTTGGCGGTAGCCAGACGCTCCTGGCCCGCAGTCTTTGCTGTACAAAAGACTGCAACTGTGCATAATTGTCATCGGGCAGACATTTTGGCACATCCTCCTTCAAATAATCCAGGCATTTTCATTCAAATAAGGCAGATTCAGATCATTTGTGTCTCTGACCAGATTGAAGTCTTAAATCTGAGATTATCTTAACATCCGTGTCTAATCCTCGACACACAACAACGGCTCGTGAAATTCCACCGCTCTTGGTGAACGTGGAAGATCTGCGCAAAACTAATCTGTTGGAAAAGGTACTTGTCTGGTTTTGGAGTGGGGGGTGGGGGTTATTTTGTTTGCTGACCAAGTGTTGCTGCTGATTGCCATGGTAACAGACGGTTGTCAAAGGGGGGGGGGGGCACATCAGTACACATATTGCAAGGGAAGGCGTCTGACAGAGACTCTGCGTCGTGTTTCAATAAGGCCTTGCATTTGAGACAAATAAAAACCCAATCATGTGGCGCAGCCCGGAAAGAAAATCATGTTCTCTATCATGTTCCACTGCAGGTGATCGCCATAGTTACGGATTCCCTGACAGACCTGGATATCTTTAAGGATCTTCAAGAGGCGTGTTCTGTCCGCAAAGTCCCCGTTTACATTCTGCTGGACCAGTCAAGCTGTCCCGCTTTCCTCAGGATGTGCACAAACGTTGGCGTCGGCTTGGATGAGCTGCAGGTATGCCGCCGCCGCTTCTTCCGAGGGCTGCTGCGGCACCAATATCTCCCGGCGCAAAATGCAAAGATTTCTTTGAAGATTTCATATGACTGGGCAGGTCTGCTCATTGCCGCTCTCTCTCTCTCTCTCTCTCTCTCTTTTTCTCCCTCCCCCCCTCTCCCTCTCCCCCCCCCCCCCTTCCCATTCTTGAAGCAAATGAGAGTGCGAACCATAACTGGCACGACTTATTACACAAGATCAGGAGCGAGGATCACTGGAAGAGTTCATGAGCGCTTTATGTTGATTGATGGGAACCGTGCGGCTACAGGTTCATACAGGTATTTGTCCGTTTTGTCCATCCATCCAAGCTCACGCTTTGCTCCCACCCACAAATGTACATCTAACAGTTTCTTCTTTTATTTTATACATGTACAAACTGAACTCGCAAAAAAAAAAAAAAAAAAGTGTTTCGTGTTTTAGAAAAGAGCTCTATTTATGCAGGGTCAGAGGCTTTCAAGTCAAATTTCATCTGATTATGATCTGCAATTGCGCATTTGGAAGTCATTTAAATTCAACGTGGCAATTTTCGTTTTCAAATTCCCACTGTCGGATCCCATCAGATCAAAATGTAATTTGTTGTGTTCATATTTGTGGTCTTATTACATATTGTTCTTTTGGATGCATTGTTGTCTCTGATTTCTACTTGAAACAATATTCCTCTTTTTTTTTTTTTTTTTTTTAAATCCCTGAGGGGGAACAGTCAGGCACAGAGAGATGTAAGAGTTGTCAAGCATAGGGGTGTAAAAGTCTCTTAGTTCAGGGGCCACTCAGAGCAAATGGGCCGGACCACGAAAATCATGGCATGGTTTCTCTAAATAACAACAAAAAGTTGTGTTTTCCTCTTTGTTTTCATGCAACTGATGGCATCCAAGTCTGGTTGGAAAAGCTGAATGTACAGAACTCTCCTTTTGCAAAACGTTGAAAAATGGGCAATTTGAGTCCCCTTATTGTCTGCATGTGTGGGCCTCTTAACTTTGAAGTCATCACATGTTCTTGGAACAGAAAAGAGTATTGCACTGAAAGATGAAATCAAGCTAGGGATTTTATTTTCACTCCATGTGGGTCACACGTATTCAGAGATGATCAGTCTTTTTGGAACAATCTCCTTGTTGCGTTGTCGCAAATAACAATAGCGCAATAATTATTACATTGGTCAAGCTGTAATAAATCAGAAAACCAACCAGTCACAAGTTCGCCCCAACGGCACCCACCACTTTGAGCGGACCAATTAAAAAAAAAAAAAAAAAGCAAGAATAAAGCCTTGGTTACAAATCGGGTGAGGCAATCTTTCCCTCCTTTTGTGG